CAAGCGTGTGTGTGTGTGTGTAGGTGTGGCTGTATGTGTGTTTGCTTTGTCTGGCGCTGTGTGACGTCACGCGGGGACGTCCCCGCGACCTTTAAGCTTGACGCCATTTTTTATTATGTGCGTCCGAACGAACGGTAACTGTAATTGATGGCCATAATTCCGCATAATGGAAATGTCACTTTCACACTTTTTCATCACATTTTGTGGCATGCTCTCTAGAGTTTGTGAAAAGAAGGGAAAGCTTGTTTTAAATTAAAAAAACTAAAAAACAAAATTAAAAAAAACTAAATTAAAAAACAATTAATGTTTAATGTACAATTAACAAGTTAATTAATATTTAATTAGCCTGCACAGCACTTTGGAACATAACTGAATAATTAAAGCTTGAGAATTTAATGTTTATTTACATTAATTTTAAACTTGAATGTATTTATTTTCATAATTTGTTCTTGGAAATCGTATAATTTTGTTATTTAAAGACAGTTTTTCTAAATGATCAATCAAACCTAAATTTGGATATTTGCATTAAAATATCAAATGAATATTGACAATATGAAGCGAATGATCGCTAGCTAGCAATAAAAATAAAATACATTTGATTAACTTAAGCATTCTAAAAGCTTACATTCTAATTTCTGATTTCAAAGAGAAAAAATATATTTATTTCTATCTAAAAAACATAAACATAAACAAAATTAATATGTCAAAGAAGTCTCATTTTTATATCGAATACTTATCATATCAATGTGTTACAAATTCAGTTTCATGCGGCGTTGCATGTCGAAAATAAAATGAAATGACATGGCAACGGTCACACAAAAAAGGGATAATCTTGTACAAAAGTAACGGTCACACTGAAGTCTCGCCAGGTGCTATATAAAGAGAGCCATATCGCAAATCGATGCCTGTTGTTTTATTTTAAAATGTTTTTTTTTATATATTATTTTATTGGGGTGTAGTCTCTTAATTCTCCTGAGAGATTGCCGTACCGTATTGTACGAGATAACCACCATATCTTAGCTTCTGATTAAGTCGATCCCAAGGTCAAATTCCAGCGGCGATCCTCCTGCTCCGGCTCCGGATGCGGCTGCCGCAGATACCGCTGCTTCGGTTCCTTCTTGCCCACTACGTCCATTCTTGGTCTTTTAGAGACCAAATGGGAGAGTTGGCGCAAATCGCCGTTAAATTTGTTTACAATAACCTTATCTTTTTTAAGAATTAATTTTTCAAAAGACGACATCGCTTTGTAGCTTTTTTGGCAATTCAGTAATGTCGTAGTTCCCCACCTGTCATTTCCGTGGCATTTATTTTGGTATTTTTACTTTTTCCACAGAATTCTTTTGATTTTTCAAAACTAAGAATCACAAATTTATATAAAAGCCGGAAATGAGTTAATGTTATAGCACAATATCATCTGTTTACTCTCTTGATCTTGCAACGTCTTTCAATGTTCGCTGGCAAAATCGACGAAGCTAAAAGTTCTTTTTCCTTTTTTCACATCGATTTGTTTTTTTATAACAAAATGAAAATCTCAAAAAAGTCTCATTTTTATATCGAAGACTTATCATATCTCTATATGTTACAAATTCATATTCATGATATTCAAAGTGTTATCGAAACGGTTAGTCCATGAATAAATTGCTCGTGTTAACACATCACACTTCCAGTTTCCGCTGACCTTACCTGCACGAATGCGTTCTCCAAACCGGAGGCCCCTATAAATCCAGGTTTTCGACAGCTCCATTCGTTAAAAATGGTAATTTGCAGTCGCAGTAACGCAGCTGTAACTGCCACCGGGCGACATGAAACGAATCAAGGGAATGTGCGGGGGCGGAGAAGCCATTTTATGGCCTGCCAGTCAGGACCAGAAACGACTGCAAATAAGCCAAAAGAAGAGGCTTGGCTGTTCTTCCCTCTGGGAACAGGGAACAAGACTCTGAAAGTCAGACTGACTGACTGCCGACGAGCATAAAAACCGAAAAATGGAGATCCAAGGGGCAAAGTGACGCCACATGACGGCAGGCAGGATGATGGCTCTGGAGGAAGCTGTCAAAAACACTCTTGGATTTGGGATGGATAGAGCGCAGAGTGAATCTTATGGTAAGAGGAGCGGGTAGGTTTTTTGCTACATTTGGTGGGTAGTTTGTAGAATTTTCTATAGTGAGTAGTTTTAGTATTTTTCGGTTTTTCGGGGAGTTTTGAGTAAGATTTTACTGTTGATAAAAAAATAAATAAAATGCTATATCTAAATAAGTATCAATTTAACTATAAAAAGAGTAGATTAAGCTTACAAATCGCAATTCGGAAGCACTGATTTTCCATTTCTATCTCGTTCATATTTGCTTTTTATTTTTAAATTTTAACAGATTTTTTATAACGATTTTTAATGTTTTACCATGAACATAACCCTAAAACATTAAGTAATATTTCTGCTGAATGTTTAAAATACGTTTTTATTATATTTATTTTTATTACATATATTTAGTTTTATTTTGCACTAACTATTTATTTTAGAATGACCTCGGAAACTTCGCCCTTAATCGTTAACCTTCCTTTGGTATTTCTTCCAAAATCAAATTATTTAGATTGGAAACAACTTTTGTATATTGTTTTTAATGCTAATTGGCCTTTTTAATATTTAAATTTAAAACCTATAAAAACAGGAATACAGTATTTAATAGTATTTAATTGAAGTTTTGAGGCAACAATTTATACTTTTGTTGATCTTGTCGCGCAGCTCCCATAAAACTTAATTATTTTTCAAGAATTCTGAATCCAAGGATTACTGTTTTTATTTGTTGGCATTCCTGGTAGCGGAGAGCATCAACCGTACACCGTCTTCAGGCTTGGAGAATCAGCTATATTTTCTTAAAAAACTTAATCACCAGCCTGAAGGGCCAAATGACAATTTTATTTTCTTTAAAAATGTAATCACCAGCCTGAAGGAAGGGCCAACTAACAAAATTATTTTTTAACACATTACACTTGTGATTCTTTAAAAATGTAATCACCAGCCTGAAAGGCCAAATGACAATGAAGTTTGCATAAATGATCTTTAAAGTTTAACGCATTTTCTTTTATTTGCTAAGGTTTTTCGAAACACCACGAGGGGGAAGAGTGGAAAAAATAAATAAGTTTTAATTGGAATTTTATAATTGGCATCTAGCTCTTTAACAAGCGATCGAAATCCATAGTCATTGTCTATTTTCTTTTGTTTTGCTGAATTTCCTTCATATGCGTTTTCAAGCTCTATAAATTTTGTCAAGACTAGTTGGACTCGAAGGCTTCGGCATACATTCAAATTGGGGATAACAGCGCTTCAAGTGAAACGTTATATTTGTGGTGTTGCCACTCATTTTGTATGTTTTTTTTGCAATGCAAGCACACCGCTATTTGTTTGTCCTTTATGCGCTGAAAATGTTCCCAAACCTTTGATGTTTGTATTTTCCTTTTCCGCCAGAAACTTCTTCCACCATATTGTCCTTTGTTGTTGCTGAAATAATATAAGAAACAATTAAATAATCATATATTTGCGTACACAATGTTATAGAGTGGCTTGAGGTGCGACACATGCACACATTTACTGTGCTATAGTTACACGTTTTGAAATATGTTTATTTTTTTTACCTATCAGATGACTGTCCATTTTGCACTCCGGAGTCCGGACCACCAACTCCACCAGTTTATTTATTTATTTAACAGCTAAACGAGACTTATAAATTTGCGCTTAGCTTAATGATTAAAGCTATAGCAACTAAGGCCTTAAGCTTATTTGATTTAGGATTTAAAGTGATTATTTACACCAGTTCCTAACACAAAAAATAGAAACATCGATACATCGATATATTATATATATTTATATTTTTTTTTTTTGTAAAAATTAACTTAATTTATACATTTTCCTATTTTTATCCGCTGACTGCAACTGATTGATTGATCGCAATTTTAATCAATTTTGCTGCCACCTGGTCCTCGTGTGAGTAAAAATAATAATTCATAAATAATTTATTTATTATTACAAATTATTATTATTATTATTATTCATTTAATATTTATTATATATTTATTTACAATTTATTTACCTATTTTCTCATTTTACGTTGCAAAAATCATATCTTTCGAACCTCATAAGATAATCAATAAAAAATTTACTTAATTTATCCATTTTCCTATTTTTATCCTTTGCAGCAACTGATCTGGATTTGATACACCGCAATTTTAACCGATTTGGCTGCCACCTGGTCCTTGTGTGTTATATACAAAATATTATTAATTATTATTATAAATAATAAATTATTTATTTATTTATTACTGGCAACACCGGGCGTGTGTTTGCGAAGAAGAAAATGAAGAAACCGAAGGGCAGGCAAAGAAGGCGCAGTAAAAAAGAGGGGAGAGAGAGAGCGAAGAGAACAAACCACCACCGCTGAGCGAAAAACCGGTTGCCGATCGCTAAATCCACCCGGCGAAGCTTTGTGATTGGTCGGATTCGGTGGGCGTTTGGGCAGCCGCCTTGCGATTGGCGAGCCGAAGACAGCCGAAGACTCAGTCAGCTGCCATTGGTCGAGGTTTTCGGATTCGGCAACCCGAGCGTTGCGATTCGATTCCAGCAATTTTTTGGGTGAGTGTTCGGGTGGGTGGTTGTTTTCTGCACCGAAAAGGGGCGACTTTTTGTCGGAATATTGATTGATGGGCCGAACGGGTGGTTTGGTACTTATGTAAAGGAAATTACGAAATGAAATAAAACGGAGTTGAAGTTGCAGTTCAGAGACGCTTTGGAGTCAAAGCCATTTTGTGCCAGGAGAGGTACAGTTGTGTCTGCTCGTCCTAAGCTCGTCTTTAAGCTGAGCCTATATTTCAAACTCTAGAAAGTCTGCAAACTCTACAAAGTCTGTCTGGCATTTCAAGGCCTTCTCGTCCACGTCTCGCCTTCATTATTCATTACGGTTTCTTGACAGACCGAGGAAAAACCGTTTCCATTCAAAGTCAGCCATATGGAAAGATATCTTTTCGAGCGACAACAACAAAAACAGCAGAAGTGAGCAAAGTACAAAGAAGAGTGGTCAAAACAAAGGAAAAGCGACGCTTTGTGTGTAGCGCGTGTGTGTGTGTGTGTGTGTGCGAGTGTGTATGTATCCCAGGGAAATCGTGTCATTTTCGGGGTTGCTGCTCGTCAGCAAAAAGAGGAAGAAGCAGCAGCTGGATGAAAGTATTCATAAATTACGATTAGGAAAAAAAAATAGCAAATCTTAATAAAGCATTTGGAGAATTAAGTTATATGCTATTTGTAATTTTAAAAAGTAAATTTAAATTAAAACAATTACAAATTTTAAATTTACTTTTTAAAAATACAAATTAAAATAACTTGGTTTAGTAAATAATTTTTTACATGGAATTTATAAATTCTGAATAAAATATTCGTATTTTTTTTTTTTTTTTTTAATTAAGAAATGCCGCTCCTGGCCTAGAGCTACATCTTCCTGGTCTTCTTCAAGATGGTCTTCCTGGTGATCTTTTTCGGGGCCATGCACGGCCTTTTCCTGCTGCCCGTCTTGCTCTCGCTCTTTGGACCTGGTTCTTGCCTCACCTGGACGGGCAAGGATGACGGCAGCGACGTAGAGGTGGACGACAGTTTGGATGAGCGACAGTTGGAGAAGCCTTTCTCGCAGTCCTACTACATGCAGTACCCGACCATGGACCCTACAGCTCAAAGGGTTTTCTGGGAGCCCCTTATAAGGCATACGGCATGGACGAGAAGGACCTGGGCCTGGGCACCTCTGGCGAGGATTCCTCGGAGAGCAGCTCGAGTCGATTGCAGCGCCGTCACCAGCAGGCCGCCGCCGCTGAGGACGAGGCAGTTATCCGGGAGTCGCCCCTTTCCACTGATTATTTGGCAAAAGCCCAGCCGAGGCTCTTCCGCTCACGTCTCTGTATTTATATTTTAATTCCAAACTCCAGTAAAAGTTAGATTTAGAATTTTCTTAAAATAAGTATGTTGGGCAGACTTATCATAAAAACCGTAAATAAAAGTAACAAAAATATAAGCCGCCCCCGGGTGGACTCGAACCACCAACCTTTCGGTTAACAGCCGAACGCGCTAACCGATTGCGCCACGGAGGCTACGGAAATGTTGCGAAATTATAGCCCGGTTGAGATTTTATGGAAGATTAAATTTTAAAATTAGAACATTTATCTGTTAATTCGATGTGCTTATATATTTTTTGTCTTAATAAATTATTCAATTTATAATTGCGATAAAATGCAACGAGATAAGTAGATAAAATAGTTTAGATTAATACAAATAAAAAACCGTAATTACATACTAACAAAATAAGAGATATACAGGTAGGAATAACAGACAGGTATTATAAAAATTCAGCTAAATATCCCTTCAGTTAAATAAATTATATTCTAATAAATAATTCCCAAAGGCTTACATGCTGCATTTGACAGACGCCCGATTGCTGCCTCCGTGGCGCAATCGGTTAGCGCGTTCGGCTGTTAACCGAAAGGTTGGTGGTTCGAGTCCACCCGGGGGCGAATCAACTTTTTTTGGTATAGAAATTATTTTTTTGTCGCATTTCACACACCCAATGCACGCCATCTAGCTGTCAGGAAGCAAACTGGACAAAATCAGTTAACTGATATTTTATGTTTAAAAAGCGCCACCTAGGTGTGTGGAAGTATTCCACTAGTAAAGTTCAAAAAACGGTCGGTAAAGCAGTTTTCAATAGCCAGTTTTTGAACCATCGATTATATTCGATTATAAAAATCGAGTGCGTGACGTCAAAATCGTCACTCGAATCGATTTTCGATTTTTCGCCGAAATCGATTTTTCTCGCTCTGATTTTGGCTATTTTACCGCCATTTTTTCATTCTCATTCAAATTCATTCAAAAATTTGAATTTGAATTTGAATTTTCCGTTTTGATCTTGTTTTAAGCAAATTGAATTGAATGAATTTGAATTAATATTGATAATTGATTTATTAATTATAAAACATATTGTCTTAATTCAACGAATTCGCATAAAATATACATTAAATATATTTTACAAAATTTAATTTTACATAAATGGAATTAGTCAGTAAAAATATTTATAGTTGTTGCATAAATATATTAAATGTTTAATTTAATACCTAAATTTGGTTCTTATTTTGCTTTTGTTTTGCTTTTGTTTTGCTCTTCTCATTCTCATTCAAAACAAACGTAAATTCAAAACAAATGTTAATTTTATACAGCTTGTACAAAAATTATTGACCATTTACGACATCATTAGCGGGTATTATCCTGACAATTAGCAATACTAGTCCGCTTGCGCGTCCGTTTTTGAGCATTTAGCGAAACTAATGCGATTCTTTGTCCTCATTTAATATTTTTAGCGGACATTTTTCGGATCCATCCGAACTAAGTCAGCTCTTTGTCTGCCTAAAGTCTCATGCCTACTTCTGGCCTCCTCTCCGACAAATATTGTTTCCATTTTAACTATCCCCATTAATTATTTCTTTTAAATGTTTAATTTCCCTCCCATTCAGTAAGATTAATATTTATCTTTGGAGCATTTTAAGCAGATAATTTATCAATTGACCGTTGACATTTCCAAGGCCCAATAAATCTTCGCAGAGAAAGCATAAAGCAAACTTAAAAAAAGTCATAAAGAAAACAGCAATGTGTGCATTTCGGCCTCCGTTTGCTTAGCCCCGAAAAGTGGCAAAATTCATGCAGTGACTGAGTGCCCCCCCTCATCAATATTGATTGCTCTCTGCCCGTCCAGTGCCGTTGCGTTCCACAATTTAGCCGCTCAAAATTTGCTATGCCACAAATCCCCAGCAGCGGCTGTCAAAACTCGAATGCAGGTGGACGAGGTGACACCTAAGCTTGCGAGGCTATAGCTCCATATAGAGCCACCACCACCACCACATGCAATCAGGGCCGATCATAAATACTTCATTACCTTTTCCAGGCCAAAGGGAGGTGGCACTGGCACATTAGCTGCCCCCGTATGCGGCTGCACATTTCAAATGCGTTTTTCCACCTGGCAGGAACGTGCTGCCAGCTAAAATAATCACAGCTCAGATTGGTTTGCCAAATTGCTATTTATTAAAAATCAATGCTGCTGCTGCTGCTGGCCACGAACCAATGGCCAACAACGATAACGGATAAGGGACAACGGCAAATCAGCAATTTCAGCAGCCTTAACAGCGTGTCCGACACCCTTCCATGTCATGTGTCCCCCGGGCAAAGGCCACCTCGGCTCTTCTCCTTCAGCCTTCGTCCATAAATGTGCACGGAAAGAAAATCATTGAAAGCACAAATTGCTTAAAAATTGGATGGGTAATAATGGAATATTGATTGGATTTTAATGCAAAGTATTTAAGAGAGCAATTTATTATTTTATTTATTTGTTATTATTTATATTTAATTTTGTATTCATATTATAGAAGAGCTATTTCTTAATTAATTAATTATAGTTTTTATTAGTTTAGCTTTAATCATGAAAATTTAAACGAATTTATGAAAATTACAAGAAGAGTAAACGATTTAGAAGCTAAAATAAATTTAATTGACTGCAGTTTTGCTTTTACTGATTTAAATAATAATACTTTCTACTTGTTTTTAGCTGTTATGACAATTTAATTTAATTTTTATAAATATTGGAAAATTAAGAGCTATTTATAATTAAAGTCTAGTCTAGTTTTTCTGTTTAAATTTTAAATAGGAATATTTTTAATTTGTTTAGCTTTATTGTGATAATTTCAGTGAATTTCTAAAAGTTGGGAGAAGAGTAAACATTTTAGCTAAAATTAATTCATTAAAGATTTTTAGGCAAATAAAAAACTTTTAAGGAGCTAAAAAATATATTTCTGATTTTAAATTTGATACTCCTCACTTTTTCTAGCTTTATAATTTCACTGATTTTGTACAAATTTAAATGAATAGTAAATATTTTGAGAGCTTATATACACTTGTTATGCTTTAGATTTGCTATTTATATTTTATATAATAATATTTTGCTTTTGTTTTGCTTAAATTTACTTTTCGGGATAGAGTAAACTTTTCAAAGGCTAAAATAGATTTTATTAGACCCTATGTCAGCTACAAAATTTCTATTAAATTTATTTATATTAAAATTTTTAATAAATTTTGTATATTTTTATTAACAAAATTTAATTGAATTTCTAGAAATTAGGGGCCAGTTTCTTAACTTATCGTAAAGCAAATCATATGCTCATATATTTTACCTATGTATATATTTACCAATACAAATAGTTACAGTTACAGTTTTGGATTCACATCTTTACATTTCTCCCTACCGATCGTTCCTATTGTAAATATATAATATAGTCTTCCGATTTCATAAAATTAAAACCAAAATTCTGAAATAATACAAAATGGCAATGTTTCAAAGTAAAGGAAAATATGTTTATAAACATGTTCTTATAAGAACATTAAAGTTTTAAGTGTTTTTCTTACAATTTTCCGATTGTTTCTATGGAAGTTGTATGATATAGTTGGCTGATCCAGTTCGTTCCGATATATATAGTAATCAGAAGACTATCTGCAAAAGTTTCATTCAGATAGCTCTAAAACTCAGGTACTAGTTTGCACAAAAACGAACAGACGGACATGGCTAGATCGACTCGGCTGTTGATGCTGATCAAGAATATACTTTCTTCGTCTTCTTTTCCGAGTTGCAAACTTCTGACTAAAATTAAAATACCCTGCAAGGGTATAGTGAAAATTAAGCGCATTAAAGGAATTACTAAACATTTTAAAAGTCAAAATCCTTTATTAAAATTTCAAAAACATTATTTCCGCTCTAATCTTTCTCTAAGTAGCCCGAATTTGGCTCTCATTTTGTACAGTGCCCACAGACAGTGTCCTGTAAATGTTACACAGCACACCAAACACTGGACAACAAAATCGTTGACTGGGTGTGAGGCACTGGCCTGCTAATTGAAATCCCATTTGAGGCGGGTTTACCAATGCTCCTCGGCCACGCAGGCCAGTGTAAGCAGATGCCAGGGCCCAGACATATGCCAGGATGTGTGAATTGGGGGCGGATGGGGCGCGCTATGGCAGGACCTGCTCCAAGCAGCTGCCACTGCTGTCGCTGCTGGTTTTCAGGCGACATTTCCGGGCAGTCCGAAGTAATTGCTCGGCAAGCTGTTGCCGCTGACAGCAGGCGGGGGAGGTAGGGGGAGTTAGGGTGGTGGATCTACAGACAGGGTACTCCGTGTGTGGGTGTGTGTGTGTGGCAGCTTGGTCACCCGGGGACACTGCTGTGGTGGTCAGCTAAGCCGGCAAGCGGCTTACGTTAGGCATTTCGGTGCGGTGGCCACGCGGCGTATGAGGAATGTCAAGTGAATGCTGTGCCGGAAGCAGCCGCATTTACCGGGTCTTAAAGTTAGGATCAACGGGGGAGGAGGAGGGCTTCTTTGCAGAAAGCACAAATCGAATTCGGATGCACCGCGTCCTGTACGGAAAATCTCTGCCTGCCTTCGCCGCTGCCTGCGCTGCCACTGCAGTTACGTGACGATTTTTTATCGAACGAGAGCACGTGGGACTTTCCCTGCCTTCGAGTCGGGGCTTACAGCAAGTGCAGCTGACACACCCGCCATAGCCACCTCGCTATCCTCCGCATCCGTTCGCATCCGGCTGTATCCGTTGCCGTGGCCGTATCCGTAAACATATCCGGGGCTTGGCCTGGCCGCGCTTTGCATATTAACTAAGTGAAACATTTCGTTGACAACTTTTCAAACATTCGTGTGTAAATGTTTACCGCCAGCGCGCTGGCTTCGGGATAGCCTCGAGACATTTAAAATTGAAATTTAAATTCGATACATAAACTGAGGAAATAGCCCAAGAAAAGCATAGAAAAAAAGGGACCCAGCCAACACATCCTTTTGACCGTGCAGCTTAACATATCGCCCTCAGACTCTGCTTCTTTTTGGCAATTTGAAATACAAATTTTACACCCAGCCTCTGGAATCCAATGAGCCAAGGCCAATAAGTCTGTCTCCCCCGGTTTTTGCCTTCTTTAGCATTTTTTTCTCCGTTTTTTTTTGTTGGGTTTTAGGTTTGGTTTAGCCCCTCTAGCCCTTTTAACAGTCTGTCTGGGGGCTTCACAGGATTTGTGGGCTAACTTCGGTACCCTCTATCCACACACATACACCCTTCGTATCCGTATTTATTAAATATTGAATGTTTTCCTTTGCTAGATGACTACGCCGCTGGCCGGCAAAAAAGGGAAAAAGACTTTCATCCTTTTGTGCCCGCAGCCCCCCCAAAAAAATGGGGGAGAAACTCGGAGCTAAACTTTTCGGGGAGTTTCTGGGATTGACCCAAGGCTAATGCGAGGAGAATATGCAAAGTTGGCCAGGGATAGACATATCAATATGCTATTTATATTGACAGGGAACAATAATGGAGATATCACTGTACTCGGTGATTACCCGGTGAAAGGCTTTAGCTTATACATCTCTTTTTGTGAATTAATAATCAGTGGAAAAGTGACTTTCGTTTAATAAATATGGATAATAAATGCTGAACTATTCATTAAAGGACTCTAAAATCCCCATATCTCTATGGTAGAGTTGATGCCGTGGCCCACTTCCCCGCTCAGGTTGATGGTGACTTCGCTGGCACCCACACCACCTCTCAGCAAACTGGGCTCAGCTCCAGAGCCATTCAAAAAGTTGTCATAGACATAAATAACCGTGATGGTATAGTTGTTTATCGAGCCCTTTTGGGTTTTAAAATAAATAAATAATAGTAATAATTAATCACGATCACCCCACTTACCCCGCAAGGAAAGTCCACATTCACATTCCAGCTTTTATACTCAATGGGTCGACGGACCACCGTTTTATTGAACAGGATAATATCGGTGGTAAACTGATCCCCAAAACTGAGGCTATAAGTCTCACCGTCAAGAACCACAGCCAGGATGATGAGGGAAAGCAGCAGAAGACTGCGCATGATGCCTTCTTGGAGAGTTTTGGCGTCATTTCTTTCACTGTACGGTCTTTTATAGTCGCCACCAATTGGGGTTTTTAATTAACTTTTGTTTACCTGTAACGGGGCTTATCGCAGGCAGCAGAAACGGGATGAGTTTGGCTAAAAGGGTAGAACAAATGGAGGGAAAAACCCATGTAAGTGAGTCAAAAATTCCTTGCGATCGGAAAGTAATCAAGTATTTTGTTGGGTTAGAGTCTGAAATCTAGATACAAGAAAATGTAATTTGGTTCGGTTAACTTAACTAATTAAAACGGTAAACTAACTTAAACAAGTCCAAAAGGATTGCAACTTATATTCATTTATAAGAGATAAACATGATTAATAGCAGTAAAAAGTTCAAATTCTATTGTAAACATTAATTTAAATTAGTATTCCAATATTGTATTTGTAGTTAGCGTTCTAATTTGGTAGTTTGATACGGATGAGCAGGTTTTAGGGCTATCATGAATAGTACATCTAAATGTGTTTTTTATTACAAACGGAAATATTGATTTAAATGGTTTATAGAATTTAAAACGAATCAGTTCTCAGGTATTGGTCATTACAAAATGATGAACCGCATTCTCGTTGTCTGTCTGCTTGCTGGATACTTGTTAAGCGGGGTAAAAAAGTCTTCGGAGACTTATAGGAAATATCCTTTCACAAAAACTAACTGCATTTCAGGTTAATTCTCTGGTAGAATTCTCGAATCTTAAGTGTGAAACTGTGGATAGGGACTTTGCTGACTTCGAGTATTGTCATTTAAAGTCCGTGAATCGGACCTACAAGTACATGACTATTAAAGTTAGACTCCTTAAGGTTCCGATTACCAAAGTTAAGGTATTTCTTACAACTTTAAAAGCATTTTTGAATACCTTTCTCCTTGCTTTTCAGATTAACCTTGCCCTGTATCAGCGACTGAATGGGTTTAAGCCCTTCCTTTACAATACGACAGTCGATGGGTGTAAATTCTTGAAGAACCCGAGGTCCAATCCGGTTGCTAGTTACTTTTATGATTTCATCAAAAACAATTCAAACCTGAATCACCCCTGTCCCTACGACGTAAGTATTTCATATACTTTCAGCCCCGAACATAATCTTAAACAGATGTATTCTAGCATGACCTGGAGCTGGATAAAATATCCACTCAGAATATAGACCACCGTATGACCAGCATGTTGCCTTTCCCCGAGGGCAGTTACTTGTTCAAAACTGATTGGTTTGCCTATGGCATTAAGAGAGCTGTGGTTAATGTTTATTTAACTCTTTCGTAAACGGCTTTTAATTGTTTTAAGTTAATCATACATTCACATATGATTTACCTTTGTACTACAGCTTCCCTATTGGCCAAATTAACGCTCAGATATATAAAAAATTGTTCCACCTTAATTTTTATTTTCATTTGCAGAACTTTATTATATTATATTTTTAAAATGTAAGCTTCTACTTGGGAATTATAATGGCTAAATTCGATATCTATCTCAATCGCACTCGCCTAAGATGCTCTAAATATGTATTTATTTAATAATATTTGTGTTTTATTTTACTTAGATTTTCTTTCTTTTTCGAAATAAATTTTATTAATCAACGTTAATTTCAATACTACCCATAATACCATCGTACATTTAGCTTAGAAGACAACACGTCCTCTCTCTAATAGTAGAGGAGGTGCTTCTTTCTCTCTTGTGATTCTGCCCAATTGTACTCAATAAGCTCTCTTAAAGAGCACCAAAAACGGAGCTCTCGTTTGCTATTGCTTGTACATTGCGAAGGAACGAGAAAGAGAGATATATATATATAGATAGGGAGAGAGAGAGATAGGGAGAGTGATAGGGCACCCACATAACAAGGTGCACAATATATTTTTGAAAAATGCTTTCGAATTTGAAGTTTTTAATCTCAAAGAGTTCAGATAAAAACGAACTCCTGTTTGCTACTCCTTGTATATTGCAGGCAAAGCGAGAGATCATTTCTAAAACCAAGGGACCTTAGGAGAGTAAACCAAATGATGTCTTGCGGACTTTAGAAAGGGGGATTATGATATAGTACTAGTACATCAATTATAATTAAAAAACAAATGTTTTTTTTCGATTCCATTTGATATCAAAGCTAGAGTTTTATTCGGTTATTGCAGATTCCCAGATTCCCAGACTTAGCGTCCCCAGATCTCGATGGTGGAGTTGATGCCGCGGCTGACTTGGCCGCGCAGGTTGATGGTGGCAAAGCGGTAGCCGGGACCGCCGGACCACAGACTGGGAGCGGCACCGGAACTGTTCTTGAAGTTGTCGTAGACAAAGATGGCCGAGATGTTGTAGTAGTTGACAGTGCCCTAAAAGAGGCAGAGCTTCAATTAGTACATTTCACAAGGAAACCCGACAGATAGGCAAACTTACGGCACGTGGGAACTCAACGTTCACGTTCCAGTAGTTGTTCTTGATGGGATTGCGGATCTCCGTCTGGCGAGAGAGCAGGTAGTCGCTGTTGGTGCGGCGTCCCCAGCTGGAGCTGTAGGCGTGTCCGCCGAGGATCACGGCGAGGACAACGGAGAGGATCAGTAGACTGCGCATGTTGGAGGTTACGGTTCGTTTGGTGTCAGCTGTTGTCATCGCCGCTGCTTTTATAGGACGCCGCTTGGCGGTGAGACATTGTTTACAGAAGCGTTTCGCTTTTAATTAACTTCTGTTGCCTGTAACGGGGCTTATCGCACCTGCCCGATGCGGGGGCAGAGTGGGGTATCGCAGCAAAAGCCAGCAGAATAGTGCAAAATAAAATCAAAGTAAAAGAAACCCCCCTGAAACGGCAATCTCATTCCGCGATAAGATTACCTGAGTCACACCTGACGCCGCTGCGGTGCAAAACAAGCCAGTTCCGATATTCTCTGGGCTTCGCAACCTTCCAGGAAAAGATTTTCGCTTATCAGCTGAGCGCAAAGCCCTCAAAGAATATATATATTATAGGTATAATTGCAAATCGGCAAGAAATCACACTTGCAGATTTCAGACGAATGATACTGGGTGTTAACTGGAAGTACTTTAGCCTAGATAACATTTTTATTTTGGCAGTATCTGAGGTGTTTCTTATCAAGTTGAAACCAAGTTGAGATATCTCTGGAACTATTCACTGTTCATCATTGATCATTCATCACAAGTGTGGAAGAGATTGCCTAGTTTCTTGGAAAGCAAGTACCATTTGTTATATTAGATTGTCTGTATTTGATTCTGGCAAATATAAGTTATTAAAAAGAAAGAAAAATATTAACTGACCAAACATAACTTTAGTCAGAGAATCCCTTTGAATGCATTTCCTGCCTTTGCCTTTTCAGGTGCATTTCAACTTTAGTTTGATTATATTTATGAAAGACAGAGGCTTTCAATAAGTCCTAATAATAGCCTTGAGGCCTTTAGCAAATCACAAACAGAAAATGCATTCAATATTAATTAAATATGTGCAAGTGACAAGTGAAATATATACACCATCAAAAGTAGCATAAATTAATGCTGTTTGTATCAGCTTACAAATTAAACATCATTAGATACTTGTATTATGGCGCAAGGATATTTATGCAAAAAGTGATTTAGCCTAATTAAACAATTAATAAAACAAAGGAGCAATGGCATTCATTATTCCCATTCACTTTTAATTACACAAATGTTTGCTCAGAAAGGAGTTTTATTGTATTTAATCTGGGATTAAGTTCGTTCTGCTTAAGCTTAGTTTTGATAATTTGAGACGAGAACAACAAGAGATTAATTTACCTTTTGCTTAAATACAGTTATCATAATTTGAGACAAGCAATTAAACATGTACATAACGCATTTCGATGGCAATTCATTGCTAAAAGTATCAGCATTGTAAGCTGTCTTAAGCTGGCGAATTACAAACTATCATTTGGCATCTGGCATTGTTTGAACTGGCGGAGTTCTCCTCGTCTCTAATTAAGTGCGGAGCTTATTTCCTTCATTGTCAGCTGCTGAATGCTGGTGATGATGAATTTCCGTCGGAATGCAGTCCTGGAATTCAACAGCACACTGGAGGGGTACCGTATCCACCCCATTGTAGTCTATATACTTGTGCCAGAGCTTTGGGAGATGGATATGGGTCTGGAGTTCTGTTTGCTGCTGCATATTTATTGCAAATTACCAGGACCAGGATACCCGGGAGTCACTTGCTTTGGAATAAAACCTCATTACTTGCAGCAGCCGTCGCGCTGATAAGGGTGGACGTATTTGTCACTTATGAAAGGATAATTCGCCACGCTCCGCAAGGATACTGGAGTAAAAAAGTCACAATACCACGCATTGGGGGAGCAAATGCCGGAGGGAATGAATGTCGGGCAAAAGTTTCACCATTATCCGATTGCAGTGCCATGTCCTGGCATTTTGTGCAGCAACTTGTTAATCACATTTTATTGACACATCCCCGGCACTCGGGGGAATCGATTTCCATTTTTAAATTGGCCAAATTAAGGGCTGCTTTTGCTTTTGCTTTGGCCGAGGCCGAGGCCGGAGCCCTCTTTTCAGTTTCAGTTTGACTGTTACATGCGTTCGCTTGATAAGCAATTTGCAGTAGACTTACACGGACAGGCCCACATCGGACGGGGAAATCAGATACACTTAAGGAAATAGTGGATGTAATACGAAGGGATATATTTCTAAGAAAGTTGTAGGATGAGAAATGAGCCTAAGAAACCTCTTGAAAATCGTAATTTTGGCTATTTGGCAGGGTTTTACTTTTTAGTCCGATTGTTAACGGAATAGAGAGTATGTCTCAGTTTGAACCTTGATAATGTCTCTCTTTAGAATGCTTAGTAGCGAACGAGAGAGCGTTGCTGCAAAGCACTCTCAGAAAGCTTTGAATTTTGTCTCTTTGAGCACAGTTAAGTGCAATAACATCCGAAGAGAGACTGATCTTTTGGTCTTCGGAAGAGGAATCTTGAGAAAGCAGTCAATTGATCATAAGGGTTTCGCCATAAGGGTTTCGAGCAGTAATATTAGGTATACTGATATTTTTTTTATACCTTTTTACAAGAAATTTTGAATAGCGAGTTAAAAGTTATGAACATCTCTGTTACATTATTTTAAAACTAAAAAACGCCTTTGAATTATTTCCTGTGTACTCACCCACATGCACTTACAAACGCCAGATTCGACAATTGGCAAATTTAAAAGCAATAAACGTACAGAGAGCAAATTTCTGGGTTTATGCCTCGTTGTCGTTTTGCCATTTTTAACTGTTCGACAGGAAAATGGATGGAGAGAGAGAGGGAGAGTGAGAGTGAGAGCGAGGGGTGGCTACCCCCGGGGGCGGAAGGACGCGTGCCGTCGCGTTGGTACTTTCTGGTTCCACCCCCTGGGATGTGTGTCTGGGCCTGGGATTCCATCGCAAGCTGCCAGTGCCACTCAAAATGGGGACTTCCCTTTCATTTGCGCTTTCAATGCCAATCGCTGGAGCGACATCAGCTCACACCGTTCTCCCTTCTCCCTCCTGCCCACTGCTTGCCCGGGGGCCACAGTTCAAGCTGCGCTTTGGAAAAATGTCAAGAGCGGAATGTGCACTTTTGACAGTTTCAGTTCATTCGAAGCTAACCCTAAACATCCCCCCGACTTCCGCACACATGGCAACCCTGACACGTACCCCTAATAAAAGTTTCTCGTCGAAACGGCAAGAACAAAGTCAAATATTAGGGGAAAAGTGGAAAATGGCAGCAGCAGCAGCGGCTGGTTTATTTTATTTTCCATGTTTTTAATGTGCTTTTTGTGCTGTGAAATCACCCCAACACCCATTCCCCCTGAGCAGACCCAAAAATACGAGTTTAGTTGCTATGCTAAGCAATGAAAATTCGAAATAATAATCCACACGATGGCACCCGACTCTTTTCATTCGCATAATTTTGAGGAATTTAAAGGAATTTCCCATATTGAAGTGCTCTTTATTAAGTCTTTTGCTGTTTCTCCATCATATCAAGTGTGCTTTATTTTTTTTATGTTTTAAATTTAATAACACAATTGTTTGCTACATTTGTATATTTAATTTACAAAATAATATTCTCAAGAACAATTGCTTAAATCATGGATATTTGCTTTGAAAGTCAACAGAGCTGGATGTGTGCTTTTAACAAAATTGCATTTATTTCAAAATAATTAAATTTGGCAAAACTTCTCATTGAGAAACATTTTTAGTGGGTGGAGGAAGTGGTTAATTGTTGTTTTGCTTATTGTTTTGGACTGTAAAGTTCATAGAATATAAAATTAATTACATGTGCTGCGAATTAACGTTTGTTTGTTTCACAGAATTTCCAAAGTTCTCATTAATTGACGTCAAATGTTAAACTTTTACTATTAGTTAACTTTATATTTTTCTATGACAAGTAAAATATAATTTCTAAAAATATTTTCTTTTTTATTTTTCCAGCATTTTTAACTATGTAGCTTATGTTGTTATTTTAGTACTATAAAAATTATATTTCCCTAAAATGTTTTAAAATGTATAAAATATATTATATAAAATATATAAAATATATAATATATTTTATACCTAAGCTAACTTAATTTAGAAGCCAGCTTTTATTTTGAGATAAACCTAATTTTTTGTCAACAATTATTTCCTTATCTAAATAGCTTACATTTTTAAAATGCTGATTTTAAATTCAGGAATTTTTACTTTTCTTAAATATGTTTTGTTAAATAAGTTAAAAATTATGAGGGTTACTTAAAGAAGGTATTTTTCCCAAGACTTCCTATAAATTCCGGAGCCCATTTGGAATTTCTTGGCCACTGTGGCGAAAAGGTTGCGTCGCCAGATGCAGTTTGTCGGCAAACCTCAAAGGGTTGCAACTTTTCCCCCAACATTTGCCTTTGGATTTGTGTATGTACGAGTCCTTTGCCAGGTTTTCAACGTTGTTTTTTCATTATTACTTTTTATTTTGTGATATGCAAAATGGTTTGTAGACCCAATGAATGTCCCCCTGCAATTGCTAATGAATTCTCTAAGCGATAACGTGGCTAAAAAAAGAGTTTAATGCGCCAGCAGCAACAAAGCAAAGCAAACATAATGAAAGGGCCAAAACAAAGGGAAAAGCCACCAGAAAGGAAGTAAAGTAAGTTAGCTAAATGAAATTGGGATACCCTTTTCATTTATTTGATTTAATTAAAGAGAAAGTTTTAATGGGAACTATGTACAAAACGAACAAGCGAATAAAATGAGTTATAAGTATTATCTTTAATTTAATTTAATTGAACAATCTCTAAAATTATGTTACATTATATGCGATAATTAAAAATATTTTCTTATTTTCGAGGTTTGCTTTTTCCCTCGCATTGACGCTTAGGATTCCCAACGGGTTCTAGTTTAGAGTACTAAGAAAATTAGAGATTGTTAGCAAGTTGTCTGATGATTTGGGTAGCGACAATGAAACGATCGTAACCACAGCTGATGCTTATCTATTGACAAGTTATTTTTGTTGTTCTTGGCCAAAACCGCGACTAGACCTTGAGTTTGAAGAACTTTGCAAATTCTATTATGGAATATTTTTAGCAATATTTTTAAGGTGATTTCTGGAGCTACCCAGAATATTTCATTTTATATACTTCAATGTCACCCCTTGGAAAGGGTATAAATATCAGGGCGCTAAAGTTGTTTGCCCCTTTGTTGTTGTCGCTGCCACTGCTATTGTTGCTGTCGCTTTTGTTGTTGCTGCTGCTGCCGTCATTGCTATTGTTGTTGTTGTTGTTAATTGCTGACTTAATGGCGCTTTAATTAAATCGCAACACTGCAGGCGGCCCAAGCTGTAAAAGGATGAGGAAACTGGGCGGGATTAGGAGTTGGGGGTTTCTGGTGGCGGGCGGAATTCTTGCACATGGCAACTTCCGGTTAGTCACGATCCAGAGTCGGGGTCGGCGTCGGCGTCGGCGGCAACCCCCGGCGACTACGACTCGGTCCGACTTGATTTGTGACCCTTTGTTAGTTGTAAAACGGTCGAAAGTTGTAAACGGTTCCTGCCATTGTATTTTATCAATAGTCGAAACATCTGTTGGGCCAATTTGGCGATTTCCAAGCAAAGTCTAGCTATACATAGGTTATATTACCTTTTATGAGTGATTTTATATTTAATTTATATATATTGTTCATATATTAAATTAAATTTATTCCTTTAATGATAAAATAAGACTGCTTCTTTAATAAACGTATATAAAATATTTATGACAGCGTTAAATATAGTTTAACTTCAGCCCTCTTAATGTCCTGTGCATACCAGTCGCTTTGGAACATGTAGCTGCCCTCGGGAAAGGGCAGGACTCGGGTTATACGATGGTTCATATCCGTTGCGGAAACCTTATCCACGATCAGATCATGCTACAACAATTGCAGAGTCTTTAGAGTTCATAGACGGTACTGTTTCGACTACTTACATCGTAGGGACAAGTGTGATTCATATTCGAAAAGTCCTTGCCGAATTCATAAAAATATCTTGCAACCGGATTGGAAGTTTTGCTTTGCATGAACTTGCAGCCGTCAAAGGTCACATTGTACAGAAAGGGCTTTAGGCCATTAAGTCGCTTGTATAAGCCCAAGTTTATCTAAACAAAAAACAAAGATATTACAACCGTTTCTATAAGATTTTATGCAATACCTTAATTCTGGTAATCGGAACTTTAAAGAGCCGCACTTTTACGCTAACGTATTTGTAAGTAACGTATTTGTAAGTAACGTATTTGTAAGTAGTAGTCAAATGACAAATTGCAAAGTCTGCAAACTGGTTATCCGTAGTTTTACACTTGATATTCGTAAACTCTACCAGGGAGTGAGCCTAAAATTGAGATAGCTTTACTGAAAGTATTATTTTATTTGCTGGTTTGTAAACTTTGTACCCCGCTGGCCAAGCAGGCAGTCACCAGACAGACAACGAGAAAGCGGTCCATCATTATGTATTGAAATATTCACGAGAACTGAACCATAAATTGCAATATTTTAAACAATATATATTGCTATTTTTCATGGAAAAAGCATTTAGATTTAGTTGTCATGATTACTTAACATTTGCCATTCAAATCGGAGTGTGGATCCATTATCAATTACTGCATTAAATGGATCTTTAGATTGCGTTTGTCTTCTCAATGATTTGATTTTTTAAAGATAATTAATAATAACAGGGAAATGTATATAAATAGCAAAACCCCTTTACAATAATGGTCGGTAATATACAGTATAAGTACAGTATTTTCAATAAATCATGTTATCCAACGAGTATTTACACTTCACTAAACATTATAATTGTGAATTGTAATTGTATTCAAGTTCTGATTCAAGAGTCAACTGAATATTAATTATTTTTTATTTTAATATTTCAGACACGTGTGAACAAAAATAACAACAGGAAGTTAGGCTAACTTTAAGAGCAGAAGTCTGTATACTTAAGAGGACGATTTTAATAAATTGAAACACATTTATTGCAGGATAACAGTTTTCAATGAATTATATTTATATTTAATAGGCATCTTAAAACGGTATTTATATAGAAATATATGTAGTCTATGGTAGAGACTAATTAAAGCTAAAAAATTACAGTTTTTAGTGTATTAATATGTGGATCCTGTATCCAGATAGACATTATTATGCACAAGTAAACAAACCAGGGAAAAATTACGGAAATAGGTAAATACGTATTATTCTATCACTTTTTCTAAATAAAATTTTATGAAAACTATTCATGAAAGAGTAAAATAAAGTCTAACTTCAGACCTCTTAATGCCATATGCATACCAGTCGCTTTGAACCATGTAGCTGCCCTCGGGGAAGGGCAACAGTCTTGTTAACCGATTGTTCGCGAACTCGGAGGATAGTTTATCCACCACCAGATCATGCTAAAGCAATTTTATTGTGAATTATAATCGATTCTCAAAATTATATGGATTACTTACGTCAAAAGGACAAGAGTGATTCATGTTGGAATAGCTCTTAAAAAAGCCATAAAAATAACTTCCCACCGGACTAGACTTAGGGTTTTTTAAGAACTTGCATGCGTCAACTGTCACATTGTACAGGAAGGGCTTTAAGCCATTAAGTCGCTTATACATTGCAATGTTAACCTAAATGGTAAAAAAAGAAACAATATTATAACAATTGGTAAGGTTCATATGACATACCTTAACGTCGGTGATCGGAACCTGGAAGAGTCTATTTTTTAGGGTCACATACTTGTAGGTCCGATTTATGGATTTCAAAAGGCAATATTCGAAGCTTGCAAATTCCCTATCCAAAGCTTCACATTAGACATTAGTAAACTCTACTAGGGCCTGAGACTGCAATACAAAAAGATTTAGTAAAAGGATGATTTCTATGAGTTTTTATAGACTTTGTACCCCGCTGAGTAAGTATCCAGCCACCAGACAGACAATGAAAGAGCCGCAGTTTTTATTAAACATTTTGTGGTGATAAATTCACGAGAACTGGTTGAAAAACTTTATCGATTTGATTTCAAACCCATTTGTAATAGGGCAACATTTAGATGTACTATTAATGATGATACTCTGAGAACCATTTACTCTAATCGTAATGTCACTAAAATTACTTTGTAGTTCATTGAATATTGTAATTGACAAAATTAATTTATTTGTTGATTCAACATTTAACTGAAGCGGAACAAAAAAAGGAGCCTAGCTGTGACACGCCTAAGCTTGTATACCCTTACAGTTTTAAATCATTGGAAATCGATCATATAAAATATATACATTTCAGAATGGTGTTCTGTAGGCTTCAGGCCTTAGTCGTCTTCGATTTAATAAAAATCAGAGGTCAATAACAACAAAAAGAACTTGTCAATAGACAAGTACCCAAATCATCAGACAACTAGCTAACTATCGATTATTTTCTTGGTATCTAAGCTAGAACCCGTTGGGAATCCTAAGTGTCGATGCGAAGGCAAAAGCAAACCTTAAAGATCGGCAATAGTTTGGATTTGACATATGTAGTAAAACACAGGCCGTCAAAATTAAAAAAAATCGCAAAACCAAGATCCAAAATACATTTCTCCAAAGGATTTTTATTAGTTGGACTCAAATTTCATAAACGTCAGGTTTTTGAGATATTTTGTATTTTACTTTCATTGTTGTACCCACAAAAAATCACAAAAAATCTAGCTACTTTATTTGATTGGAAACCCATCAGTGCCATCACTGGGCAACCCAGCAAACCCACCCACAAAAATAATTCAACCAACTGGCGAAATGTTGCAGCTGCAATTGTTTGGTTTTTGCCACTCGGTATTTTCGTGTTTGGTGTCTGGCCGGGCGATAAGTTGGCCAACTGTTGTGTTGTCGATGTGGCAGACACACAACTTTAGATTCGATCTTGGGCGCCACGCCCCTTGGCCCCTCCTGAATGCTTAATTGCGGGCCTCGTCGTCTATCAAGTTGAGTTATTCCAGTGGTTATTGTTGCTCCCCGAGCAGCCTGGCGTGAAATTTTAATTAATGCTAGAGGAAAGCGTGTAAACTACCAACAAACAGCCGCAGAATGCAGCAGTTTTTGCTGCCAAATTGATGAACTCTCTGGCCGGCAATTGGCAGAGCTCCTCGTTGTTTTTCCTACAATATTTACGTTTAATCAAATGTAAAATCCACACCGATAACTGGAAGCTGCAATAACAATTCAGACTACTGACCAGGCCGTAGACATAATCGCTGCAGCTCTGGACCTGGACCTTCCTGGGCAATCTATTTATTTTGTGGTTTCGACGTCTATATGCAGTATGTTTGGTGCATATACTCAGCATGAGAGTTTGTACATCATTTTAATTAAACGCGGTGAAAAAAAACCCAGGCCATAATACACGGCAGATAAAAATGCAATATGTCCGCAATACCGCAATTTGTTTAACATTCCGGGCAAACGCGGACTGCATAAACAATTAAACCGATTGAGTTGAAAATGGCGGGTAAAAAATGCACTGTGAAAGCCACAGGATAAAAATTGTGTATATATTGCGGCGCAATCTAACATTTCGATCATCGTGGCTGGTTATGTTTACTCACATTTAATTGGTTTAGTGCCGCGACGGCAATCGATACCGGCCCAAAGGCCGGCCAATAGTGCCACAAATCATCGCAATTCATAAATAATAAAGCCGTTTAAATGATTTAAAAAGCGTTTTGCATATTTCATAGTCTCGGGGCCGGGTCATTTGGCTGCCAATTAAATGCTAAATAGATTAAAATGCCAAAATGCTGCGATAAACTCAATCACGAATTCTGATTTATGCCTGCCAAAGGGCCCAGAGCCATCCCCACAAGTTTACCAAGCGGCCTACACTTTAGAGCCAAAAATTTGAGTCGAATCTCATTATTCTGATGTTAGTTTATTAAATTTTAATTGAGATTTTGGAATTTATTGTGCATATTTAGGGGAAAAGCCTTTACAAAATAGTTCAAATTGCAAAATGAAATATTTTTCATTGGGGAGAATAATTGTTACTCGTTAGGAAAAGTATTTATGTAAAATATTCTGATGACTTTCTTTTACTCTAGTTATTTTTTGGAGCTTGAATTTGTATTTAAATTGAGATTAAATAGGATCTTTCCATATTCACTTTTAAAGTGAACAAATTAAAATGTTTTTTTTTTAAATAAATTGTCAGTTTATACATAATATTCGTATTACTTGAATTTTATTTGTTTAAATTCTGAGAGAAAACATACACATAAACTATTTAAAATACTTTTGTATAATTGCAGTACAAATAAATATAAAATATTTTGAATTTAGAGAAGAAACTAGGATCTCATTGTAATTAACAGAAGAGTCCTTTATCATAAGATATATTATATTATATTATAAAATGTTGTCTACGATTTTAAACATATTTCCTATAATAAATGTGGATAATTTATAATAAAAGAGCTTAATTTATTTTCATTTAAAGGTATTTTTGCCTAGTTAATATTTTTTTTAATTAACTTCATGTACCTAGCTAAGTCATTATATAATAATAAAAAATTCTAATTAAATTAATTTGACCTTTAAAAATATTTCAAGTTTAAAGTTTGGTAGCATTACCTGATTCATGGTGTATATATATGCATAATACCAGCTAATCCCTGTATCTTATCAATCCAGGCCCATTTCGAATAGTGCAGACGCTCATAATGCGTCAACTAATTGCTCATTAATTCGCAAACATGATTTCCAATTCAATCAGACTCGGCTAATTACAAAACTTAATCCAATGGAATGGCCGCAGAGCCTTCTGCCTACTCCAGCCCCTTCCCACCGCCACCACCTGTTGAGGTATCCGCGAGGGAGACTTCCGTTTCCCGCCTGCCTCTGATTTTCCACGCAACGCTGGCCAACGATGTTGTTCCAGAGCAAACTTTAGTCCGGATTTTCCCATTTAGTTTGTTTTGCTTTCTGATTCCGTTTTTTTTTTGTGCCGTCTCAGAGGCAAGCATATAACGCAGCTTTTCCCCATCTCCGTCACGGAGCAAGAGGAGCCGCCCATCCTGCGGGCCTGCCACTCAAAGTTTTGTCGTTATGAGAACGGGTGAAAAAGCGAATGTCCAGTGACAGTTCCGAGGGCGAGGACAAAAAAAAAAAGATTGAGTATACCCGGCATTATCCGAGGGAGAAGGGCATCACTGTGGGTAGTTTTTCGAGGGATAAACTTTGTTGTTTTCAAATAAAATGGTTTATAAAAATGTGTTGTTATTGTTAAGACTGTTTGATTGTCTTTAACACAGTTGATCTCTCTGATTTGTCCGTTTAATTACTTACTTTTCATCTTAATATTATTATTTTTATTTAAATATAGGGTAAGCCATAGTCGAATGACAGGACCCATTCTGTCTTTGTAATTAGAGCGTGGCAAACGTATCCTTTGGAAAAAAAGGGTACTCGGTGGGGGTCAACAAATGCGCATCGCTCAGTTTTTGACACGCACGGCAAATATGTTTGACTGAGTTCACGGATGGCAAACCCAGTCCAGGGGCGGCTTATGTACAGCAAGGGGAAACGCCAAAAACGGCAGAAAAAAAGAATATATTTATGTGAAGAGTATTCAATATGGATGACTTGAATATCAAATAAGAAGGAACATTAAAAAAAAATCTTAAAATAAACTTAGAAATTATTTGACAATGAAGTTTCCGTGTATGTTGGACTTTGACAACATCTTGTGTTGCCAGCACCAATGGGTGTTTCTCAACATGTTCCTAGTAAGATTTGTCAACATTTTCGTCTGCCTTTCTTCCAGTTTAATTAAAGTTTTTCATTAATTTGAACAAAATTAGTTCATCCGAATTAGCTATTTCCATTTATCTTTTAATTTCATCCTTTATGTGTTGGGTATTTCATAGTCTGCCAGCCTCCACTGTAGCTTTTCTACTTGTTTTCCAGCAAATGAATTATTAATAAAATAAAATTCCATTTTTATTTAGTTTACATCCAGGTTTTAATTTATGAAGATCTAGACAGGTTTAGTTCCAAATAAAATTACATAATTTTGAAGATATTAAACAAACACTGTAATAAGCAAGTAAAACATTTTGTGCTAACATCTCACTATAAAAAATTCTGTTAAAAACATATCTTAACTAAGATCCTACTCAAACCATATTTTAATTAATTTTAAAATAGCTTGACTGGTAAGTTTACTAACTAAAAGTTTTATTGGACAATAAATGCTATTTAATTTCCATAGCCCCCCTAAAAGGCGCCCAAGTCCCGTAATCCTTCGTTTCGCTCCTGTTGTGTGCGAACGTGCCCTCGCATGGATCAGAATCGGGCAACGAATCGGACCTGGTCACAGGACCCAGACCCAAGACCCACATCCAGGATCCACACCCAGTCCCTTTCCCCAGTCGAAAGATGCATCCTTTTTTCCCGCCAGTTCCCCTCATACAAACCCATGGAAGCCGTTGTTGGATTAATAAAGCACTGAGATTGCTCAGTTTGCAATTTTTGTTTATGATTCAAAAGGAACATTTAATTTATTTGCTTTGTTTTTTGTTGGTTTTCTTGTTTTTTTTTTTTTTGCTTTATGTTTCTGCTGTCTCCTCACAAAAATTGAATTTCTGCTTTCGGTTGTCTGCCTGTTTCTCAGGTTTCTTAGCCTTGTCTTATAGTGCCACGCCCCGCTTCCCTTCGTTAGGGGGAGGAGGGTGCTGGTGTGGGTGTTAGTAGTGTGTGTTAGTGTGTGAGTGTGAGTGTGTCTTAGCAGATATTTGTGGCATTTTGCTTGTTTTTTTCGAATACGAATACCCATTAGTTTCGAATTTGTTGCTTGCCTTTGCTTCCGTATACACATACAGTCATACATACGCTAGAGTATATCTAAGGATAAGACAGAGACAGAGATACATCTATATAGAGTTAAAGAGTGAGACATATGTATGTGGAGTGAATGAGACAATTTGTTTTGCTTTGTGGCTTCTCTGTGTGTGTGTGTGTGCCCGAGGGTCCTTACACTCCTTCCTTCCATCCGCTGCTGTTGTTAATAGCGTTTGTAGTTACAGTTACAGTTACAGTTAGTTTTCAATTTGACGACAAAATATACGTTTAGTCATAGACATACACTCACATACACATATATGATAAACATGAAACACATTCAGTTAGTTATAGTAGTGACATCGGAGAGCTCCTGCTCTCCCCCTTAGCTTTATAATCTACTCGAAATACAGGATAACTCTAGGTGTGTCTGTGTGTGTTGAGTGTGTGTTGTGGGTGTGCGTGTCTAAAGGCTGCCTGGCAGCCTTTTCGGGAATATATATTTATTAAAATGCAGACAGAGATCCTTTGCCTTCATAGTTTTCCAGTTTCGGTATTTGCCTTAGTAACGTGACTCCCTCCTAGTAGAGCGTAAGAGCGTAAGTAAACCATATGGCGAAAGCTTACGTAACTAGATGAATAAGCAGCTGCTGGTCGGAACTGTAGTATTTTCTATTTCATTTTCTTAGTTGAGTGCGTGTATTTTTATATCTTTAATTATTACAGAGAACATTTAAGCTACGTTCAATTGAAGCCATCTTAACATGGCAATTATTTAGCTAGTAACCCTAGCCGATGGAGCACTTTGGGAGTATATGGGGATGGGTGATATAGCTCAGGCTATCACTTGATAGTTCCCCTAATATTTAGCTTTAAAACAAGCTTAATCCGAGGAATATCGATGTCACCCATCCCATTATACCCCAAAAAACAGTTTCCTTGCCGACTAGTGTCTTTATTATGGGTTTTTGGGGGTGTTGTTCTTCGGGGGACTTGACAACTTTAAGTTGCCAGCTGGCTTTTGGCTAACGGAAATGCAAATTAATACATAACTCTAGGGAAATGGAAACAGAAGCAGAAACAGAAACAGAAACAATTCTTGGCTAATTCAACTAAAAGGCATAAACAAACAACAAGGACATCTTAAGCTGGGGCTTTTCGGATGACAGCTAGAGGAAGCGAGAGATGCAAGTGCACTGGGAGAAATCCCAGCTGCATCTGCATTTGAAATGGCGTGTCCTGTCAGGAGCGGAGAGTACAGCCCTGATATAATTGAGCAACTAAGCGATGGCTCTCACAAAATCAAATCCTGTGCAATATGCGGGTCATGAGGGGTTAAGCCTTGGAGGAGTTAAGTGTGTGCCTACGGGTGTCCTAGGTGTGTGTGTGTGTATTATAGTGTGTGCTGTTTGCCATCGGTTTAACATTTGCTGTTTGCTTTTCGCTTTTCACCTGATTCAGATTCTGTTTTGAACTTCCTCCCTTATGACATGTACGCAATAGTAATAATAATAATAATCAAGGTAAATAAATATATCGCTTTCGTAACAATCGAGGACAACATTCGAGAACAAAAGATTCCGCATCCTGTTGTCGCATCTCAACTCCCCTTTCGGTGCTTTCCTTTTCTTAGGCTTCCTTCTCTACCTCCTTACCCTTTCCTTATGCTTCTACACACATTCAATAAAATATGCACATCAATAATTCACATTCATTTATCATTTACGGTCTGTATCTGAGTGTGTGTGAGTGTCTGAGTGTTTGTTATTCAATTGCTAGCTACTTAAATGCTCAGTTTTACGTTATGCTCAAACCACCTTTTCAGTAGTTTTCCTTATATCATCGACTGGCCATAAACTGTTTGTTATATTATCGGGTGGACCTCAATTGCCGTTTGACTTGTGATGTCCTAGGCGGGGCTTAAGGGCATTGAGTTGTTTATAAATTGTATCAGCTTGCTGTGTGCTTTAAGGACAGTGATTGGATTTTAATTTATATCACTGATACGCAGTGTGGTCCTTATGCAATATTGATGACATGGTAAAGGTTGATATCGTTCATCCGCCGTGTGGCCCCTGCCTTATAAATTGCATTACGCATACGCCGCGTGGCCTTAGCTTTTACCTTGTTCATACTTGGGCTTTAACGGCTTTAGCCTTTCCTTCAATGTTTATTCACATGTAGTTAACCCTTTAATAGCTAATCTCTCAACCCATTGAGGTCCACCCTTAGCGTGCAGCTGTGTTCTATTGTGTGTTCGTGTGTTGCTTACGCATCTGAAGTTAGCTGGCTTTAATTTTAATTGGTTTTGCGCCGAACTCTAACAGGTAAATTCACATTTAATCTCACATTTAAAATGCAAAAGTTTCAATTAATTTATCTTAGGCTTCGCTCCTCGCTCCCCAGAGTCCTTGAGTCCTTGAGTCCCTCCTCTCGCTTAGATGTACATGCCCAGATCCGCATGGAAGTCCTGCAGATACGACAGCAGCTGCGAGGGCGTCGGCCTCTGTTTGGCCTCGCTGTGCCAGCAGCAGTTCATAACGGTGAAGCTGGTTTCGTGAATGGTTTACAAGGAAAATGGAAAATGGGAAAAGATATAGGATGAAATTCTTAATTTCAGGCATACTCTTTTCACCGGGAACTTCGGGATACTCACAATTCATCGGGGCAGTTGACGGGCTGCTCCAGCCGGAAGCCGGCGGCCAAGTAATTGGTAAGCTCGAATATATCAACCTCCTCGTGCGGCATCTGGGCCAGAGTGACCAGCTCCCAGTAGGTAACGCCCAGCGCCCACACATCCCCCTGGGTGGCGTACACCCGCTTCTGGAGAGACTCCAGCGAGAGCCACTTCAGTGGCCGGTTCTCGTTGTCGCCCAGGCAGTCGTAGTCGTCCGGGAAGAGGTCGCGGGACAGGGCGCTGTCGCAGATCTTCACGTAGGAGTCCTCGTCCAGGCTGTATAAGTAGAATGAGCATAGGAATTGCACTCAGGATTACATGGGGTATCAATAAGATTTTATCGGTAGAGCCTTAAAACTGTTTATAGAAAAGAGGATATGAAATTTTTCTGTACTCACTAGCAATTGCGTGTGGCAATATCCTTGTGGACGATACCCAGGGAATGCAGGTAGGCCAGGCCCTTGGTGATGTGCAGGCCAAACTCAACCAGCTGGCGGGTGCTCAAGGCCGTGCTGGAGTCCCGTGACTTTTGCAAGTAACTGAGAAGGAAAACAAATTGGAAAAACAATAAGTCAATATGATAACGTGCTTTACATGATGATAGTTTAAATACAAATAATAGTTATCAACTCACATCTTTAGATTGCCCTTGGACGGATAGGGATAGGCGATCTCCGGCGGACCCGGTAGTTCTGTATTGGCCAGCAGCGGTGCCAGGATGTGCTGATGACTGACACCAATCAGCAGCGAGGCATCCTGCAGGAGACAGGCCACTTGGGTGAGTGAGGCGCCATCGATGACCGTCTTGACCAGGGCATCGCAGGACTCGCCCAGTTTGCCAGCATAGATGCGGCCAAAGGTGCCCTCCTTGATGAGCTCCTCGTAGCTTAAGGCACCTGGCTGGACGCTGGGTATGCGGCGCAGACGCTGGTTGGCCTTCTCCTGGCCGTGACCATGACTGGCCATGGTGATGGTGCTCCCAGTGGCAATGCCCCCAAACAGACTCAAACTCCCGCTGCCGCTGTTGCACTGGCCAATGCCGCGGCTGCTCTTCGGCGTGGACATGCTGCAGGCCTGGAAATTATGGAAAATAAAATCAACATTAAATTGAGGTAACTTTTAATTGAAATAGAAAGCCTCGATTAATAATATATGCTTTAATGAATGCGTAATTTAGCTGCTCACATATTTAAACGCCGCCAAACTCACTTTCGCTTCAAGTTGAGCCAATTGCTATATGCGATTGCCGCCCCGAAAAAGGGTTTCTGCTTAAGTAAGCAAACCATCACCCTCGAGTTAGAGGGAAAACTGTATAAATTTCCATATTTCCGCAGCCCATCTAATTTGGACCAACTAGGGCCCGCAAAAGGGCAAAATGGCAGCGACTTTGGCAACAGGAAAGGCAATTTCAGCTGCCGGATTTGCATCTTTCAGCCTGCATCCGCTTACCGTTAGTCATGCACTCGACTGCGCTCCTCCTGCGTTCATTCATTTTAATGAATTGAGTTCCGTTTCCGCTCGAAGGGACTTGAAGCCCCCGCTCCTACTCCTGCTCTCGCCTCAGCTATAATTTGGCCCCTCGAACCGCCAGTTGTCTTACAGCATGAATAATTTATTGGCTGGCAAAAAAGCTTTAATTCGCAGAGCATTATGTTTGCACAGCCGCCGGGAGGGGAATTGGCTGAAGACGGACCAGGATACGGAGGCGGAGGAGGCGGAACCGGAGCTCAGCTGTAGGAAATTGCGAACTCGTCTTGTGCAAACAAAGTCTGCGATGGCAGCAGATAACCAGAAGGGAGGCGGCATTTATTCTTCGCTCACACCCACTCAAGGTCCAGCCTACGCAGCACATTTATTCTCATAAAACATGAAACAGTTGCAGAAAAAATAAGACCAGAAAGAATGTTTCCCGACCATGCATACCCGGCTGGCTCACTGCAAAATGTGTTGCATACCCAAAAGGCGTTTGCAAAACATCTAAAGTTTATAAATATTTTTAAATTGGGCCAAAACGAAAAAACAAACCAAACATAATGATTAATTTTTAAGGTAAAACAGTGTTAATTTCAGTTTTTACCTTGATTAATTTAATAACATAGTTTTGGAAATCCCTTTAATATACTTTTAATACAAAATATTTGTAGGAGTGTACAAAAATTTAACGAAATATTTTCCTAATCCAAATCCCATATACCTTTCTACTCAGTACAGGGTATCAACGAACGACCTCGGTCTAATAAACACAAGAAAAATCTTTACAATTCCAACAGAAATCTGCATAACTGCGGCCGAGTTCAAGTGGGATCTCCACTGGCTTTCCCTGGACACTAAATCTCCATCAGCCAGCAGCAGGTGGACGGCGATGGCGATGTGTATGGCTATGACGCTTTTATTAAAAGCCACCGCTGGCAATATGCGGGGAATTATATTATTTGGTGTGGTCTGACAAGAGCTCCTGGCCACAAAGGACACAACCGCCAGAAGGAAGTCGCCGACACACAATTGCAGCTACAAAAAGGCAATAAAAACAATAGTTGGCTGCCTTTTGTTAGTGAATTTCGTTTCATTATTGCCTTCATTGCCACTTTTCCTGAGGGGGAGTGGAAGCCCCGACCGTTCTACCCTCCAACCGGGCGCCAGTGATTCCTGCAGTTTGTCCTTTGTTGTATTTGTCGTGCTGCTCTCGTTGTCGCTGTTGTCGCCCCACAAAGAAAATTCAATTAAAACGCAACAATATCGCACTCCATCATCAAAGCTGTCCGGTGGTGGACCCTCAAGCTGGGGGGAGAGCTTTAGCGTCAGCTTCAGCTCCAGGTCGAGCTCCAGCTCCTGACCCAACTCCAACTCCAGCTGTAGCTCCTGTGGCTGGTTGGGATTGGTGGGGCGTGTCCCCTGGCTGAGCCATAAATCCCCGTAGTTTCACATGCAAAAACTCAAACTTCGCCAGCAACTCCTCTGTTTTCACAGGGACACAGGACAGCACGGTGCCAGGACCTGTCTGGTATACATTTTGCGTTCTTTGTTGTGTGCCTGGGATGCGCGTTAATGAGCCTCGCTCAAGTGTAATTAGAATTCATTTAATCGGTTTAACATTATTCGCCGCGGAAAAGGCCATTTATAAGGGAATCCAGTGGGTAGTTTTTATTAATTCGCAAATGCACAGCCAGAAAAAAGGGGTTTGGTTTTAAGGAAGTGTATTTCGGGGTTAATAAGGGTGTTAAAAATAAGATAAAAACGACTTTTTTCTAGTCTAATTCCGAATTAAGACAGTTTTGTCTTATAAAGAGAGTTTTTCTGTACCTTCTTTACCCACCTAAGACTAGTTAAGACCCAGACTATTTATTAAAAAGTATTATAATTCTCTGCTGACTTTAAAAACTCAATAAAACACACGCCAATTAAGACCCTTAGGTAGGTTAATTAAGACCTATAAGAGTTAAGATTGCCCTTACAATCTTATCATATCATGCCATAACATTTAAAAACTACTAAGAAGAGACCACTTCAAAGTAGAATAACAATTCGTAAGTGACTCAGCCGAGTTTCAAATGAAGCAATGCTCCACTTGAGATGACTTGTGCCCACTTGACTTTATTAATTTCACTCTTAATCGACGATGATTCACATGCACACACAGAGAGGGGATACACTTGAACGTTTTCCAATAAAATCGGAAAATGTCTGTGGAAATTAAATCGAAATCGAGGCAATGTTTATTCCCCATAATGGAGTGGGGAATTGGAGGCAACCAGATTTTATGGGAGAGAGAGAGCTCTCGCTCGAATTGCCAATGGAAATGTTCATCTCTGCCCGGGATTGGGGAATATTAAATGCGGATGTCAAAAGAGGAGACATTATTGCTTGGCTTTCGATGGGGAAAATGGAGAAAACGGGAAATTCGAAATGGCCAAGTAGACCGAAAATAGCTGCCAATTGCTGGTCTCAGGACTGCATTGCTATGATACCGGCAGGGGGGGTTGAATTTTCAAACCGAATTTCCAGCTGGCCGTCAAGGATACACACGGACCAGGGCACAGTGTTGCAGCTGTTTCTGTTTTGTTGTGACATTTCTAATGACAACAGGGGGATGGGAGGTGTGGTTGGTGTCCTGCCTCCGATGGGGGTGGTGTCCTGTTGTCCTGTCGCTCCGTCCTCCTGCTGATGACGTAAGCAGCGCACACATACAACTTGACAGGCGTCTGATTTGCTTATGTCACTTGCAGCTCTATGGCTGCCCGCAGGAACAACAGCCGCAACCGCCGTCAGTGTCCTCCGATCTCCCCTTGCCCTTTCCCCTCCCTAAAATCAAGCCCCCCGCCCATGGCACATGGGTTGTAATTAAAAACGCTTGATGACAATTTTGCCAGGACGACGCCCGTCAGCACGTCACTTGCCGGCAAACCAAAGTGCAGCCAAACTTTTAGGCAACAACAAGAACATCAGCAGGGAAAGCAAGACAACTGGGGCGAGCGGCGATAGCTGGAAAAGTGGGAAAAGCGAGAAAAGCAGCAACAGCAGCAGCAACACATATTTTCGCACAGTTTTCCCCGCAAACCAGGCACAGTGGGGCGGGGCTGTAAATATTTTAATGAAGTCTCACCGCTGCAACTTTCGAGTGGGGAAACCCCTAACTAAATTCTGCGGCAGAGAGTTCGCTCTGAAGCCACAAAAAAGAACAATAAAAGTTGAGGTACATTTTAAATTAATTAATTTCAACGGAAATTGTGGAATAACTTGGTGATTGTTTCGATAAAATTTAGATTTAATTATACTTAGAATAACAAAATAGTACAATTATTAGTTATTTAAGAATTTTCTTATATTTTAATGAATAGTTTAGAGTAGAAATGGAATAAAATGTAATATAAAGATTGCTTTAAAACTTAGCTAGAGGAAGTAAAATGAATTTAATTAAAGAAAAATAATAAAAAATTCGTAAACTAAATGTTAATAATCTCTTGCATAATAAAATAAATGAAATAAAATGTTATTATGATATTGTTTTGCCTTGGATAATAATAATAATATAGTTTTTAAATGATTAATATAGTAGTAAACGAAATAAATAAATAAAAACATTAATTAGGAAACATTATATTAAATTATAAATAAATTTATAAATACTAGACATTAATTCAAACCAAATAAATGCAAATTAATAAGCACATACTATTATAATTTTTCTTAAATCTTATTCAAAAATTATTAAAGAGTATAAAAATAAAGTAAAAAAAATATGATCAAGTAATTGTGAAAAGTAATGGTTAATGAATTAATAGAACATGCATACAAATATTATAAATTATTTAAAACTAAATAAATTTAAATACAAAATTTACTAATAATTGGAATGCAGTTTAATTTACAAGCCTTATAAGACAGGTTCAATCTCTTTAGTTGTAACATTTCCTCCCTCTGTAAACTCCTTTCCCACTCACTGTAACATGCACACTTGGTTCTGACACAAAATGAAACTATGCAAATTTCTGATGCTGTTGCAAATAGGAGCCTTCCTTTCGCACAGTATTTTACTTTAGTGCGACAATGACAACGGTTTGCGCACATCACGCATACGACCTGTCGCCTTGTCCTAATAAGCCCCGGCAGTGAAGTGGAACCCGAACGACGACGAAATACCGGCTGCCAGGTGGAGCTGCCAGCTCAATTATATTTCAATTTACCTGACAACGAGTTTTCCCTTTTGCCTCTGCCAGGAAAAGCCTTTAATCAAAGTGGAAAGCTTCTGTCTGACTTTTCAGTCGACTTTTTTTTCCTGTGGCAAACTAACTGAACTCTCATTATTTTGGTATTTTCGAGGCCGATGCTGTTGGCAGGACAGAACAGGATTTTGGGGGTGTCTGTGTGTGCCTTCTAATTTGCCGGGGAAACTAATTTGAATTTCGTTTGATTTATGCCTGATCGATTCCGTGTAGCCTCCTCCTAGGCCTCCTCCCTTTGATGCATGGCAATTTGATGAGGCGACCTCGTTAGCCGCGCGCCGTTTAATAAGCGTTTTCGGGGGCCTCACAAAAAGGTCCTTTCGGATAATGCATAATTAAAGACCGAAGACGTCGGGGTCCTGACTTGGCTTGGTGCTTTCTAATTAAAGGCGGCTTATACTTAACCAAAGTCGCCGCTTACACGCACTTAATCACGCATAATTGCCTTTCAATTAGCCATCGCGTGACCTGCCGCTCACCTGGTCCGCCCCTCTCCCCATTGGCTCTGCATTTAATAAAATTTACATACGTTCCACAGAGAATTCCCATTGATTTGCTCGGTTTGTTGACTCTGCAAATGAAATTAATTTACAAATGGAGGCAAACTTGTATGCAATTGGAAAACTGTCAATTAAAGCTCTGACAGATTTTAATGGAGAAATCTTGTTCTCTAACTCGCCACCAGGACGAAGGACGATGTCAAAAGTGTTGTAAAAACTGAAGTGCAGCGCAAAAGCGTTGCCTCGAACAATGCTGCCCAAGTCCTTGCACCACAAAAAGGAAATGGGAACAAAGGAAACATCCGCCACTTCCGTTTGTCTCTCCTGCGGCTGACAGGAAGCAATCAATATAGTGTAATGCCGGACAAAAGCATCCGCCGCAGCTAGTCAGGCCAAAAAAAGGGGGAATCCCCCAGCCACGGAGAGAGAGAGAGAGAGAAAGAGAGTGGCACAAAAAATATATATCGACTGACGGCTGGGTAATTTGTCAACCTTTGGCGCTGGCAGCCTTTGTTCGCCAGGTTAAGGTTAACCCCTTGGAATCACCATCACCTGGCGGGTCACATACCGCGACACCCATTAACTGTCTACTGTCACAATCAGACCAGACGCTACTTTTTTTTCTAAGCTGTATCTATGGTACACCTCCCCTTTTGTCACAAATGTCAATAATGTGTTTTAATCAAAAGGGACAACAGCGGCAAATCCATTAAGGGAGTACGTGCCGCCCAGCTTTAACTGGGGAGCCGTATACCTAGCTCCCCCCAGATAGCGCAGAAACCTTTTCCAAAGAGTTCCCCCCCCGTGGAGCTTGACTTCCCTTCCCTGCTGATTTACAAATTTCTTTAATGGGGCGACAACAACATTTTTAATTAGCACCTGTTCGTGTTCCTGCTCTTAACCAGGTTGGCCAGCCATTTGTCGATCCAGTAATCTCCATAAAACAGGAAGACATGCTCGCAGCTCCATGGAAATTAATTTTCAAGCTTTCCCTGGCTTCCTCTCGCTGTACTTTCCGCTTCTTCTCTGGGAGTACGCCCACGCACTTGGCAAACTTTCCCCTGTAATGATGCCATTCAAATGCGTCGCACGATGTTCTCGGCTTCTGCTTAACCCATTGCCGTTTTCTTGGCTCTTCCCGCTCTGATTCCCATGATTCCGCTGTTTGCTCTGATTCCTCTTTCCTCCTGATCCAATATACTAATGCCTCCGCTTAGGTTCTGTTCTGTTCCGTTCTGTTTGCACATGGCGCATCCGCTCCATCCGCTCCAGCTCTCCCCATCCCCATCCCCCGAGGACGACTGCCTTTTGTTGTTGGGGCTGCAATAATATTTTGCAAATGTTTCTAAACAAGCACAAAGGCATGTTTCAACAGCTGTAGTCTGGTTTCTGTTCGCCGCTGTTTTTATTGTTATGTCCCACTACTTTACCCCTAAGCATGGCTCCCGTTCCAAGGGGGGGCCAAGGGCCCCATCATCCCCTTTCCAACCCCATTGTTATGGCCTTTGCTATTGCGAGCACTGTTGTTAGCTAAACTTTCGCTGCACATTAAAGCAATTTGGCCGACGTTTATAGACTGATTTAATAGAATCAGAAGGACGAGGGAGCGGGTGTGCGGGGGTTGGTTCCATGCACAAATGAGATATTTCCACACAAGTGAACAGGGCCAGAGTGCGGATGTGTGAGTGTATCTGTGTGCACTTGGATATAATTGTTTGACTAAATGAGTGCGTTCGCCCCAGACTGCTCTTCCTCTCTCTCTTTTGCTCTCTAGTTCCTTGTTTGTGCCCCCAAAATGTAGTACACTTCGCTTAACGCTCACACATATGGCCCAAAAGGGGAGGGGATTGGTACTTGGAGTTGGGGGAGCTGAACGGAACAACAATAATTATGGCAAGCACCCTCAACCTCTCCAACCGCATCTCCATCTCCATCGCCGCTATACTTCCCTCAATTTGGGGGAATACCAGAAGATACATGCAGACAAACAGAGCAACAGAGAGGGAGAATTCATTTAATTCCCTGTCCCCTGCTTGGATGCGTACGTCCTTCCACTAGAGATAGAGATAGAGAGGGAATCGGAGGCGAATTCAAATGGTTATGACTCTTGGCATTGTGTGGCGTCCGATAGCCATGTAAGGGAATGGATTAGGAGCAGTGCCAGCGTCAATTGAAGGCTGTTCCCTTAATGAGGATGAAATTGAAGTCTAAACAAACAGAAATCGTTAGACAAACAAGGAGCACGAGCGGGATCAGGCCAAAGGGGATGCTTTAAGCCAAGCACATAAAAGTCTCCATGGAAATTGAATATTTAATTATGCGTCGATGGAAATTGCGTTACAACTTGGTGACGAAAATGGCAGAGTCATAATGGAGATAGGGAGAGTGTCTAGGAGGGGAGCAGCGCGTCTAGAAAAATCCGAGAGCTGGGTCTCCGGAATGCTTACAAGGACAACAATTGAAAGAGGCTGCTAAATAATTTATTCCAATTTGGCAGAGATTTCCACAGCAGCAAGAAGTTAACTTGGCCCGAAAGAAATGCTAATGTGCTCCCCAGAGAGGGAGGGGAGGAGCTGTCTTTAAGGAGACATCAGTTGCCATGTTTATGGGAGATTTTTCAGTACATTCCGCGTGGAACCTCATCGGTTTGGGTGTATTTTGCGGTTAGTTCGGATTAAGTTTGCTAATTTTCACCTGAGGGGTGTGAGACAGAACCCGGTGGCTTGGAAACAAAGGCCAAGATAACCACACAGGGGCAGACTGTCTGCGTCTGCCTCAGTGGAGCACCTTTTGCTTATCTAAGCGGACATCCCACCTCGTTCCTCGTTCCCCCCAAGAGACTCACATCACTTCAGTCGCCAGGCACTGGGTTTGTGTGTCGCCTTCACCTTCACCTTCTGCAGCTTCCACCTCCGAGTTCCAGCGGCACACCTGCCACATGAAGTACGTGAGCGCACGAAAGTTTCCCCATCCGAGGCAGCCAGACAGCCGACATCCAGACATCCTTGGGAGGAGGCGGAGGGAAAGCAAAGCCGCATATTTATGAATGGCTCTTGTTTCGAGTTTAACGCACTACGGGAGCTTTATCAGCTCGTAAATATAAATTAGAATTTAATTTTTATCGTCGAGGAAAGGTTGCTCTCTGGAAGAGTAAGAGGGGAGGAGGGTCCCCTGCCTGGGGAGCAATCGAGTGGTGCTCGGGACAAATTAGAGGGTAGCCCAGGCAACGGGGAAGGAAAGCAGAGACCGCTTCAAGGGGATTGCCATGCCCATTACCATCTCGATTTCCATTTGCGCCTGCCACGTGTCGCAATATATCAAAGGCTTTGATTTCTCGCTGGACCCCAGTCCGAGCTCCCATTTCAAATCCAATCAAACCCCTGGGACGGCCGATAGTGGAGGAGATAGTTGTAACGGTGGAGTACTCACCTGGGTCAGCTGCGAGGAGGCGTAGTAGGAAATCCTCGAGGGACAGATCGACTCTGGCTTGGAGTAAATCGTCTCTGCGGCCTGTTCGTGGTTCATGGGCAGCAGGGCTGTGGCGTACGGGGTGGGAGTGGGAGAGCTTCGGAAACCTGTGGATTGGATGAGCGACTCCCAGGATTAGAGGTCACTCAAGCAGGAGGCGGGGTAATGAACTTACGGTCGAATATGCTGCACGACTTCTTGCTCTCCGCCGGGTATTTGTTGAGGCTGGCGATGGTGGCGTAGGACCCCGTGGCACTCGGAGGCCTTCCGAGGGGATCCAGCCGGATAAACACGTTCTGGTGGCTGCCATAAGCTGCGGTGGTGAAGCTCGTGCTGGAGGGGGAACAGAGTGTTAATGGGTAAAAACTGAGGAGGAGAAGAAGCAAAAGGTAACCCACTGTAGCGAGTCCTGGCGGAGCTGCTTGCGCGCCCTCACATACATCATGCTGGCCACAAGGCCCACGGCCAAAACCAGGCCCAGAGCACAGGCGGCGGCGCTCAGGAGGGCGGGTCCCTGGGAGGGGGCGTGGGCAGGGGCGGGCGACTGATTGGGCTCAGGTGAGATGCCTGCAAGTAAGTGAGCGGCAATGGATGAGTGATGGATTAATGGAGGAGTCGGAGTCTCCGGGTATTGAACCCACCTTTCGCACAGATCTTGTTGCGCTTGAAGTGGAGCCGGGTGTCGTTGTAGCGGGGAGGAGCACGCACCACCATGTTGACGTTGACGGGTAGCTGCAGGCTGACGTTGCCCGTGCAGGGCAGGTAGACCAGGAAGGACTCGATCTCCTGCGGCACCAAACCCTTGTGCGGGATGCTCAGCGTGGGCGTGCCCAGTGCCTCCTGGTCGTTGCTGTACTCAATGCTGATGGAGTAGGGCAGCTGCTCGGGATATGCGTTGGTTAATCATTGCAGGCTATATACCTGGATAGGTGGGAGTAGGGTCTTACTGGGTAGGCGATGAGGCTCTGCCAGGAGAACTCCAGCTCGTGGACGTCCGCGGGCACCGGGACGGTGAAGTGCATCGCGTACGTGTTGATGGATCCCTCGTGCACATAGAACAGGTCCGCCTCGAGTCCTGCGGGGACGAAGCAAACGAAAGGAAAGCATGTGAGAGCGGATGCGGATGCGGATGCACTGCAGACGTAAAGCGAAAGTTTCCCCGCAATTTACTTTAGAGAGGGACTCCCCCGCTGAGCAAACTTCGTGCATTTGCTGTTTGCTCTCCCCTCGAGCGTCTCTACCATTAAGCGGAAATTGATTTTCTCTGTGAAAAACGGGGAAAAAGGGGCAACCCGAGGTGACAATGCTGGGGAGTAAACAAAACCCAAGATACAATAATAATCGAAATCGAATCCGTCACCAGCAGGCGATGAGGCAGGGCGTCGAGTCTCGAGTCTCAAGTTGTCCCAAAAAAGGACCTAGGAAGGAGATATTAGAAGGTGTCAACTGCGAGTGCTTCATCATCGGAGGGAATCGGCTTCCACGGCTTATCGAGTGGAGAAGTCCCGGAGTAGAGCCTGATCTTTGTTCCCCACCCGCTGGCATTGAAAGACGAGCTGCTTGAGTTAAAACGACGTGAAATTAAATTTCTTCATCCGCTTTTATTGTTGCCCTTGCTACTTCTGTTCCCTGTACTCCTGCCAGACGCCCAGCTACCCTCATCTGTGGGAGGCATTATTCACTCCACGGGATCAGCCCAAGCTAGCTATTCACCAGTGGAAACTGGAAGCTGGAGTGGGAGTGGAACCCTGGATGTTTACCCGCTTCTAGCTGAGCTGCCTCTGACGCTGCTTCTTCCTCTGACTCCGCCGGATGTTGAATGTAGCAATTCCGCTTCCGGCAGACTGAGTGAGGGAAGATGATGAAGGAAGGAGGCGATAGTGCTGCATTTAGGATAGAACAAAGCGCGCGCTCGCTGCTCAAAACAATTTTAAATCCAATTACAGAACAAGAAAAAGCATTTTTCGTTAGCCTTCATCCAGGTCTCAGCTTCATCTACATCTTCAGACTGATTCTGTATCCCATCCGCTTTCCTACTTTTCTATTTCCATTTCGGTTTCGTTTTCGAGTCCCAAATTGCTTTGCCCCCCATCGCGTTTTTAACCTGGGCTCCGAGTGCAGCTCTCCGCCTGCTCCAACTACCTGCTGCTGCCTCCTGTCCCAGGATGCTTTGAACCAGTGGCAAAACACAAACAGAACCCCAAAGTGCTCGCCATCAAATATGCACAAACGCAGGAAAAGGACAATGTTCCCCGGTCCTCATCCATCCTTTGCTTCCTTTCTGACCTGACAACCGCATCGAGGATGCTGGAGGGGAGGCATTTGAATAAGTGACTGCCTCAATTAATTCAGCCCTCAATTCAGGGATGTCACAAATGTTCCATCGCCCGATTCCCTCAATCCCTGCGAGAGTTTTGCCACCTCAATTGGCTTCTCAGGGAGCACAAGCCCAACTGCACTTTAAACAGCATCAATTGGCATCGCTCACCCCACAGCGAGTTGCTCCTGCTCCCAGATAACTCCTCAAATCCCCACAAATCCCTCTCCTCGCTGCCAGCGTCAAACTTTGCTCGTCTTTCATATCACGGAGCCGCCAACTTTGCCTGCGAAAGTTTTGTCCTCCTCCTGTCCTTGGTGCACCTCTCCTGCAGGCTTAATGCCTTCCTAATACCCCTCCCGACTTGTCCCCCTGGCCGTAATTATAGTAGCTGCCATTGCGATTGTCTCGATGACTCCGCCGCGCACACGTGACGCTGCAACCGCAACTCATAATCGCAGGAAGGGAGGTGAGCTCTGGCGGGGAAAGTGGAGGAGCAATTCCAGGACAGGGGGCGAATCTCAGATCTTGCGAGGCGACACAATTTGCATAAAAGATTAAGAGGATAATTAGTGTCATTAGTTGGGAGAGTGCATCCCCCTTCGGTACATCCCAATTACCGATCTCAGGGGAGGCAGTCTCACCTCGTCGCTTATTAAAGGGGAATCCCTGGCAGTTCCTGCTAATTGTCTTTGAATCGGAGATGGGAAACTCTCGCTCGATTGGCACAGTTTCTGATTTCCGCTTCTCACCTCCCCCTGCTTCCTGATTTCGGAGCAATAAAAATGGATTCCAGATGCCAAGCCACCCCTGCGAGGACTCTTGCCCGAGTCAAACGGAGAAATGGAGGGGGAGTATATTAATGTGGGGATTTTGGGACTGTTTTCTATTCATTAAAAATAATTTTCTTTTGCATTAACTTTTCATTTGCAGGGGAATATTTCAGCTACCCGCCCAAGGTTGTGGTCCGCCCTGGGGATGGTGGGGATGTAGCAAGGGAAGCCGGTCAGAGGGATCGGGTGGCAGGGCGGCCAGGAAAAAGTGTGCACATCAAAGCGAAACTTGTTGAAATTGCATTTTTACGCACCCTTGAACAGGAAAGTCTTCGGCGGAAGGGGAGCTGAGAAAGGGAGTGAGGGAAGACGGGAAAATTGCTCGTTGCTGGGACAACACATCCAAATTGGGCTCAGAGGCGGAAAAACTTCAACAAAGGCGTGGAAAATATTTAATTTTAATGCTGTCGACACTTCATCGAAGGGATCGCGGGAGTTGGTGGAATCAGAACTCAAGGGTTCTGTGACAGTCGAGAGGAATAGGAATATTGCAATGAACTTTGTTTACACTTCCTACAAAGAGACACCGAAGACGTCACCTAAGAAGCCGACAAGTGCGACACAAAGTGGTGGGAACAATCCAGGTTTCCATGTGGGGAAATGCAGCAAAAGAAAAGCGGAAATAGAGGTTCCGTAAAGGAATCTGGGGCTGGGTAATGCAACCGTAGCGAGCCTTCCACATGAACAGGTTCCATGGAGATGCTAAGGCAGGGAAATGAGGTGGAAGCCTTGGAAAATCATGCACAGGCATTTTCCATTCGGGGTGGGTGGAATCAGAAGAGGCGGAGGGTCAGTTTGTTTGATTTCACGCTGCTTGTTAATTTTCAAATCGAAACAACTCCAGGGGTGGCAACCGTCCCAACAAGAGAGGAATGGCAGGGCCAGGGGTGTTAACTGGTCGTTAAAGACATAACGAGCTCTTTAAAAAAGAGGCTACAATGGAGGACTGGGCAGAAAGGAAGCTCTGTCTGTCGGGAAAGGAAATTGCAGAACAACAAGCAACGTGGAAAAGTCCTTTGAAATGTCGCTAATGAAATCCTATTTGCAAGAGTCTCGGAGGGAATGATGGAGACTATAAGGACAGCGCGGATGATGGGTTGTTTATAAAGTGCAATTGCCGGGAAGGAACCTCCTTGTCCCATAGATCTGTAATGCGATTGGGTGCATTCAGGCCGGGGAGAGATGGATTACCGAGTTTGAAGAGTAAGCAGGAGAGAGCAGAGCATTCATCCATCAATCCGGGATCCATCTCCACTTGATGTGGATTATTTTTACGCCATCAACTAATTGAAGTGCCCTGATTTGGCAACAAGGAAGCGGAGCCTGCATAATGAGATGGAAGCATTTATGCTCCAATTACAGTTAAGTGCCGGAAAATGCTGCGACCAGCTCAACTCAGTGCTGGCGGAGTAGCGACCGCGAACTAGGCCAGCTTTCCTCCCTGCCTCGCTACCTCCGATTCGGAGTTTTCCCCGCTTCTATTCCTGGGATCCATTAATCAACTGGAGGAGCAGGAAATCGCGAGCCAAACGACAAGCACGAGGCCATTCCGCCTTGGCACGTCTATGAAATCCATGTAACTCCCATCAGGGGGAGTGGGGAGCGAGGCGGAGGAGTTGAATGTGGGAGAACTTGGCCTTGGCTCGATCTGGAGCCGGCGCCATCAATAACAAGGATTCGCGTGGAGCAACAAACCGAAAAACAAGAAAACAAACAAGGAATCAGCAAGCAAGGCGAGGAAGGTGAGGAATAAAAATGGGTGGGGGAAACAGGAGGAGTGGTGGAACAAGGAAATGGAAAACGGGAGGAGGGAAAGCTACTTGCAGCTGTCAGCAAGGTGAGGGTAGGCGCACAGCGGAAATCGATTTGTGTGCGATTTGTTTTGGTTTCGCCTTACTAAGTATTCCTTCACTATATTCCTCCTCTCCTCCAGTACCCTCCACTTCCCCCACTCCTCCGCTACGTTCCTTCCCTTTAATGGTCAACTATAATTTCGGAACTATTAATGACTGTGACATGGCCTGCGACTCCGAGGATTGTTTGTGTTTTCGTGTTCGGGGATCAATGAATTTGTCCCGTCGCACTTTGGCCTCCAACTATTAATCATAGAGCAAGCTTGGGGGAGTTCTGCTCCTGGAATGGGGCGTGTCAGTCCCCCTCCGAGTTTCATTAATGGATTAGGCAGCGACAGGAACTGGACTTCGACTGGACTTACCCATCAGTTTCATCACCTCGTGGTGGCTGATGAAAATGTTCAGATAGCCGCTGACCGAGGGCACCCACCAAGTGCAAGCCGCGAGGCAGAGGAGCAGTGGGAGGATCGGCGGATGGCGGACCATGGTGATGGTTATGCTTAGTGGGTTCCGTGGGGAGTCTATGAATTGTCAGAGCATGTGTCGCCCAGGGTGACGAACATTTCCACAGCCCCACTTCCTCACGATCTGTGACTCTGTGACAGCCAATCTCAATGTGTGGCCATCGATGCGTGGCTTTGGATTTGAGTTTGAGGGTGGAGGAGTTTCCGGGTGAAGTTTTCCCGCTGCTGCTGATTTGAATTGGACCTGCTTTTGGTGATGGTTGTCAGCTGCTGGTGCCACAAACAGTCTCTCTACGAGAAGCGTTAAAATCAAATTCCAACTGCTAACTGTTCCGGTTGGGGCTTGGAAGCAGTTCTGTCTACCAAATTTGGGAACTTTTCAGCCCCGGCTTCCGGCCTGTCCCCTCTCCTCGGGCTCTTTTGGAGCAACTTTTCCAGTTTTGTTTTGCTGCGGTTGCTGCTGCTCTTCCTCTGCTGGAGTTGTGCTGGTGCCTCCTCCTCCTCCTGCCTTATGCATCGGTGTGTCCGAATTTGGTCCAGACTGGTTCGTTTGGCTTTTATTGGCTGAGCTCCTGTCAACTTCCTCCTGGTTTCTCCCCTCCTCTCTCAGTGTTGTTTTGTGGCTATCGCTTGTCACTTTGTGCACGTCTGGTCAGTGCCTCCTCCTGAACTGCCTTCCCATTCGTGTCCTCGTTAAAGTCCAGATCCTGTTGAATAGAAAGTGATTTAGTTTAGTGCAAATCAGGCTGTAAAAAACGGAGGAGAAGCTGACAAAGGATGAGCACATTCCCCAGTCACCCATTGGTGTATTTGGGGATTAGGAAGAGTCTTTGTAGAGAGTGTGTTGTGTGGTTCAGTGGCGCAAACAATTTGTAAAAGCTAAATAAAAAGTTTCGCCCATGCAAAAGTAATTAGAAAGTTGCTGGAAGATTAACAGCTCAGGGTTGCCCAGACAGATCCATCCAAGGATTCACTTACGTCACACACGAGTCGAGTTGGTGGTGGTAAGCGAAAGCTTTAATAAATTCGAGGTAATATTTATGTGTTTCTTTGGCATAAATTATGAACTGGAAAAGGGGCAACTTTGGCCTCGCACTGTTTGTGGTTCAAGTGGTTCCAGTGGTTCAGGTGGTTAGCCACCGTCCCCGCTCCACTCCCAGCCATTGTTGTTTGGTCTACGTGTTTATTCAGCTGCTCCTGCCCTGCCCTGCTTTCCTATCTTGGCCCCGCATCCTAGCTGGTTGCGTGTGCAGGTAACTCGAAAGGAATTCCAACTGCAGCGGGGATCGGGGTGGGATAAGAGTGGATAGAGTGAACTGGGAAAGGGTCTCGTAGGCATGGCAATGGAACCGGGACAGTCGAGTGCTCCCAAAATGAAATTGTTGCCAAGAAGCGGCCGAAACTGCTCCAGTCGCCATGGCAATCTCTTTCTCCATTTTCTATTTTTCCCTTTTTAACCAATTCTCTTCTCGCTTCTCTTATTTTCCAGCCGAAATAAAAATCGAAATCAGAAAAGTTTGCTGCCTCCGCTTTCCAATTTATCTATTTTGGCTTCGAGCTTTTTGGAATTTTAAAGTTTAAGCAACTGAAGATAGTTGCTGAGGAATGCTGCGGTCTTTTTAATTAAACTTATCTGCGCCCAAAGAGGAGGCCCACTTGATTAAGGGCCAGATCAGCGGCATCAGCAAACCGCTCTTCCATTTCAGCCACATCTTCAGCACCTTCATTACAGCCAGCAGGAGTAAGTACTGTTGACTTGGCCCTCGCCTCCTGCGGCATTCGGAGTCATTCAGCGGATGCATTAATAATTCAAAAGATAAATAAACGAATGGCAATGTGTGTGTGCTCGCTTGGCTGCTTGTTTTCCAAGGGGGAATCGCTGTAACTGATTTAAATGGAGCAGCAGACAAGCAGCCAGGAATCATCTCGAGGGGATGGACCAGGCAGACATCCTGCACGGCAGTCATCATCTTAGTCGATAGCATATTAACTACATCAACTCAATCATAATCAGGGAGTGGAAATGGGGATAACTAGGCCAAAAAGAAGTTTCCTCTGAGAATTTTCCGCTTAGTCACACGCATCATCTGTCAGTCGGCCACGCCCCCTGCTTCTCCTCCGGCAAGTGACAAATTGAACATTTGCTGATGTTTCTGAGACCAAAGGAGGCCGAGGGCCGTGGTGGTATCCATCAGATGCGCCAGAGTGGGGCACAAACTTTTCAATTACTTCGGTGGGGATATAAGAGGGAGGATCCCGATTCCGTAATGAATAATAATCTTTGCCGCTGCCTGCTCAATTTCTTTTTCTTTTAATATTTATCGATGTGTATTATTTTCCGCCTCCCCGAAGCCAGGCACAGATTGAAAAGGCTTTCCAGCCTGGGGCTCCGCCTCCCTCCCTACTCCCCCTTTCAATTATAAAATGGCTTTCGCTTCTAATTGAATCGTGAGCTAGAGCAGGGGCTAAGTTAATATTTTATTTCCACCGATTGCTCCTTCCGCCATCTTTCGCGGCTCTGTTTGCTTAGCGTTTCCAGTTCCCCGGTTCCTGCCCCGTCATGGCTTCTCCATCCTTCCAATCCCCCCTAGAGCCAAGCCCACTCCCACTCCCACTCCCAATACCACTCCCATTTGTTGGGTCAACAGCCGCGGGGCTTTGCCAAGTAGCAACCAAGTTCGGAGCTGCTCCAGCCGATGATAAACAACCAAATGTGCCCTGCCAGTGCTGGGATATCCATCTCCTTGACTATTAAAACTCCAATGGAATCTATTTCGGCTAACAAAAACAAAAACAGAAAACAGAAACAGAAACAGTAAACAGAAAACGTTGAGCAAAAACACATCTCGCATTTGGGTAATTCGAGTGGCCAACGTTTTCAGTAAACTGAAACTCAAATTTAGTTTGGCCCGCGGCCTTCGGTTGGGATCAAATGCGAATAGGTTTTTCCGCTCCACACAAAATATCGAATATCCGTTCTCATTAACTTTAAATGCCAAAGACACTTGCAGAAAAATAGGGGAATTAGTTGGAATTATGGGATATATTATACTTCAAATTTAAAGGTAGTTTACTATTTAATTGAATATAGGTTATAGGTTCTTAAAACTCTCCTAGAACTTAAAGATATTTATTATACTTTAAATACTTATTTATTTTTGCAAGTGCAATGCCAAACTCCATTTAATTGCCGTAAATATTTGAAAATGAACTCCGCATGGGGGAAAATGGACCACGAGCTGGGCATATAATGCGAAATATTCGCGCTGACCGGACAAATTGCAGCCCATAAATTTTGATAACTGATTAAAAGTAACGAGCGACAGTTGCCCGCTCTGTTTACCTGACATTACCTGCTCGCTGTTGTATATTTAATAGCGAATTGTTATTTGGCGGATGTTGTGTGGCAACAATTGGGATTTGGAATTGCACAGGGACCCCCCTCATAATGTCCAAAATGTTCCTGGGCCTGGCTAATTTGAGCAGGCAATTAATTTACATTACGGCAAGAGGGGAGGACAATAGGGAGAGCGCCAGCTCGATTTGTTCCATTTTGTTACATTTCGGCGCTGCGCTCCACTGAACAAACGATTTCGACCCCAAAAACATGTGTAGTAAATATATATTTGGCCGAAAGGACCGGACCCGTAATGAAAGACACACTTGTTCGTGGTAAAATGTTGGGTCGTTCGGGCCCCAGCCAAGCCATTAAATTCACAATTTGTGCGATTTCGCATGATGACAGTTTCCACTTAGTGTTTGGAGCTTTTCTAATTACTTTCGCAATTATTGCCCGCCCTGGAAACTAGGAAAATAATTGATATTCCAATCGATGATTTCCCTAATTACCAATAAAAGAAATAATATGTATTTTTTATGCCTGTCTCTTCTGTTCATTAAATCATTTTCAAATGGGTTATGTTTTTATGGCGAAGAGTGTCAAGTGCATTTTAATGACAATTGAAACGAGTATTCATGAAATATATTTAAATAAATGTATAAAAAAATGGGTCGTATTTTAGAAAATATGATGCCGTTTACATATAATGCTCCTGATTTTGTAATATTTTTTGTTACCTATTTTAAATTCTATTTAAATATTCTATGTAAACTCATTTAAGTCTAGTTAAGCCTTTCTTACTGTTGACAAAAGCTTGTAGTAAATATAACAAGAAATCTTTTCACAAAAAAACCTTTAAAATAATAATTACAAACAGTAAACTACTCCACTTTTCCACCCTTCTTTTTCTCACATTCCGTTTAATTCGAAAGAATAAAGAGAAAACTCAGCTTTTCTCTGGAAAGCCACAGAGTTTGTGTTGAAAAGTAAGCACCAGGATAACCACTAGCCCCCTGGGTCCTCCCTTTGCCCCTCTCTAAACCCCCCCACAACCAAATGAAAGCTTTTAAGGATGCTTGTCTGCATGCAAGCGAGTGCCTAGTAAATAACCCCATAATGACCAGCTCACATATCCAGTTTACAGTCGCCGCCTGATCCACTGCACCTAGGCCGCTGCTCTGGGCGGCCAGCCAGCCAGCCATTTAACATGAAATACAACCTCAATTACGTTTTACGAGTTTAACTCAACACCGTGCGGTTGTCTGATGGGAATTTTCAATATTATGTGGCGTGAATTTATGGTGCCAAGTGACAGGATCCGAGCTAAGCGACGACACCCAGCACGAGGCACGGAATGGAAGGGGAAGGGGGCGACTTTTATCTCCTCCGTAAAAGTATCTCCACGACAGCCAGCCAGCCCCTCGGTTTAAAGCCCCTCGAGTGACGAGGGCAACCGAAACGACAACGACAAGGACCCACAGTCTGTCCCCCACGCCCCAGACAATGGGCAATAATCATTGATTTATGGCTGTCATTTCGGTTATTAAAATGATATTTTGCCCGGCGCAGGCGGGAAATCTGAAGGACTTGGGTTTGGGGGACGACGACATCTGAGCCGGCTATCTGGGTCAGAGACCGTGTCCAGGCCCGTCCTCCTTTTGAGCTTTATGCCCCTAATTGAAACATCAAGCCGAGTATCCCGCAGTCGAGCGCTAAAAGCGTGCCTAATCTATGCATATTTCAGGCAAAGACCCCTAATCAGGCTGAGACTGGGACATAAAAAAGAGCAGGGCTAAAAAGGAAACTGTGGGCCACACTTACAGCCAACTTTTAGTTTCACTTTGAGCCGGCTTTGTTGTTGGTGGAGGAGCACTTAGGCATTCAATCAACGTGGACGTTAGCCTGTCGTGTCGAGGCGTTGGCGTGCACTGAGTGCTGCCTCGAAGGGTGGAGGTGGCGGGAGGCAGTTCGTTAGGGGTTGGCAGATGGAGGGCCTGGGGGTGCTGGGAGTTGGGGGTGCTAAGTGTCGGGCCAGCCCCATTCAGAGCTGGCCAAGCGCAACGAGAGATTTGCATTTTGTGCTTTATTCTTCTCCATTTAGCCACGGTGCAAATAAAGTTTTTGGGGTATATTTACTGGGAGGAGAGGTTGCAGGGCAAAAGGAAAGCAGTTGTGGGTATATGGGTATATATTCAACTTTAGACAGGAGGAGATTGAGCCACGTTTATCACACAAAATATACAGTATACAGTATATATTCTTAATCAGCTAAGTCGGCCTAGTTGATCATAGGTTACTTTAGTTTGTCCGCCAGTTTCTTTGCAATTTTCTTTCATAATTTGTCCCTTAATGTGTTGCTTAGTTTGTTAAACAGTCGGTTAGTAAATGCATCTTTTGGTCTGCAACTTATCCTTATTTATCTGTCAGTTTGTCCTTTACTAAAGGCTTGTCCGTTAGTTTGTCCGTTATTCGTCTCTCGGTATGTCCATCAGCTTGTCCGCATTCAATCTAGCAACACTTGTTCTTAATTTGTTAGTCAGTTTTTTCGTTAATTTGTCTTTTAACTTGTCAGAAAGTTTGTATTTTTATTTTTTCCAAGTTGTCCGTCACTTTGTCCGTAGGACTTAAGGCATGTTTATCCTTTAATTTATCTGTTAAGCTTAATCGTAAGTTTGTTAATCAGTCAAACCCTTTCTTCGTCCATAAGAAAGGATATACATACAAGAAAAATTTAACAATTTTAACATTATAATTATAATTATAAATATTTTAAATCGAGAATTAATCACTTTAGAAATAAATTAACCTTAAAACACACCCCTAGATATATTACAATTTTTTTTTATCGCAAGTGTTGGGTATCCCTTATTCGTTACCACCTATATCCCCTTCTTTAAGTGTTAATTTTTGTAGTTTTTTTTTGTTGGCCGTTCATTTGCTCTAGCTGAGTTTGCATTACTTTTTTATTGCCTACTTTTTGGCGCCCCGAGGAGCAGGTCCTTATTCTCACACATTGCAATTAGTGTCAGTCCGCCCTCGCAAGTTCACCGAGTCACGCAATGTGACACCATAAAAAAGCAACGAAAAAAAAAAAGAACTGAACCCACACCCCATATAGTGGGTTTATGGACGTGGGGAGACTCCGCACAATTATTTATTTAGTTCCGGTCGAGAGTTTGAAATGGGTGTGATCCCGTGTGACGGGTTCAAGCGGGTGTTGAAATCGGTCAGGCCGAGCAAAACACATTAAATGCTTACTTATATGGCAGGGGAAAGGCAATCAGCTTTGCGTCCGATGCGATGATGCCGGGGACTCCGGAGATTAATCCTTTTTTGCGCCCCAATCGGACAGGCGAGTTTTGCACTTCAGATTAGCACGGAATATATAAAATATATGAGCACTGCGGAGCACTTAATGCCCCATTTAAGCCGTGTCAACACGAGGCGACCACGAAACAATAATGTCGACGGCTGGGCTTTTCTTTATTAATGATTCGGTTTTGCGGCTGGCGGGTCCTGCAGGAGCTGCGGCTTCACTTCTTGTTGTTTTTATTTTCTTGTTGTTGTTGTTGTTGTTGTTGTTGGGTTGGACGGAGTATTTCGCGTTTTACACACACGCACACACACACTGCGGCACTGGCGGCGAACGACAGTTGACAACTTCCGGCGGTGGAAGTCCTCGGCGACCGTGTGTTTCGAAAAGTGTCGAGCGACTGACTAAAGTCCTTTGGACTCGAGTCTTTGAAGCCACTTCCTTGGCCACGAAGTCTCCTCGGACTCCACTGTGGGCACATGCGCAATTATTCCCGCCGAGAAGTGCGAGCGGCTCTCTGCCGAAATGCCGGCACTAAGTTTGGCCATCGAAGGGGGGTTATGGGTTGGATTTTAGGGCAGGAGAAAGGACAATTGTTTGTTTTGTGTTGTTGCTGCTGCTGCTGTTGCTGTTTGCCGCCTGCCACATGCAACTGTTGCGCATTTTTTTTTGCAAATGGCCAGCGATAAATGTGGTTGTTGTTGGCGCAGCGCTTGTTTATGATTGCACTCGATGTCGTGTTGAGTTTTTGGGGCTCCTGGCGTTGGCCGGAAGTGAAGCGGAACTAGTTCCGCTTTTGTGGGCTTTGTTTGAAATATTTTCAATGAAATCTAAAAATATATATTCAGGGAATGGTAGTTTTTGGAAAAGGTTTTCTTGGAAATTTGGTGTGTTTATCAATCATAAATGTTACAGGGCGGTCCTATGGCTTTAAAAATCTTTAAAAATGTAAATAAAAGTATTTATTTTTATGTGTATCATTTTAATGAAATCTTAAATATATATACAGGAACTTGGAGTGGTTAAAAAGGTTTTTTATAGTTATGTGTATTTATTAATAATAATTATTAAGGACATTTTGGACGTGGAGTTAACAACAACACTTAACTTAATACAAAAACAAATTAAGGGCATTATCCTAATGTGCTTCAAAATCCACAAGGCTTAAAAAAGACAGTAAAAATTTAAGTAATAGTATATAATGAAATTTATAAGGGTCATTATATGTTTTTTCAACGATATAATATATTATAAGATAATTTTAGACACTTTTGGGAGTTTCCATAGTTAATTTTTAATATTGTTTATTAAGTTTTTATATTAAAATAAAGCAAAAAAAAAAAAATAGTTAAAGCGCTTTAAAAACAAAAACAAGAATATAGTTAGCACTACAAATCCTTTTTTTTTAAATTTTACAACTTTTTTAGTCATCAAATCTAAATTTATCCTTTTAAAATGTGTTAGCAATTTAAATTAACTTCACAGAGTTTTTAATAAGCTAAAGAAAACCCTCTTCTATTTATGTTATTTTATAGTTATTCCGGAACTAGTTCCGATTTGCATATCCTTCGCCCATTGCTGTCAGTGTAAAACTGGTGCATAGTCCTAAATATCCTCAAGAGGATTTTTCGGTTGCATTTGGGGCATGTTGCACAGAAACAGTAGATAAACAAGGGCGTTATCCGCCCCTAGTGGTTTTTTGTGGAAAACAATGCAACAAACTGAAAGGGGGACTCGGAGAGATGAAAAAAAAAAGGAAAATGATAAAGGGAGCCATCGCTCTTCTAATTGCTCCAGAGAGCGTGTGGGCTATATATACCCTATGGACTTGATGTACGGTCGAAATGTCGAGTAGCCCCATTTTGTCACAGCAAATTCAATTTGTCACTCAAAAGCCGACGAAACGGGGCAATTTCCTGTTGGCAGCTGCGGAAAATCAACAAGAGGACAGGGAGCTGGGAGCCCAAGGAGCCGGCACAAACAATCTCCAAACTAATTAAATAAAACGAACTCCGAACTAAGCAAATTGGGCAACTTGTCGCAGTAATTACATCAAAATATCTATAAAGACCAAGGAGAGAGGACCGAAGTCCGAGTGAAAAAAGCTGAAGAAATAGAAATATATATGAGCTCCGTCAGCCCGATTCATTTGCAGCGACAGTTTTCGGGGTGGGGGCGGGACAGAGCAAAGAGAGAAGGTCCTGGGACAGGTCCTGTCCGGCTAACAGATGGTCGCCGGGCAGACGCTGAGAGGGGCAAACATTTTTACGACACAAAGCTTAATTTGCTGGAAGAACGAATGTCAATTAAAATTTTTTAATGAAATAACTTTCGTTGATTTGTCCCCCCAGGACCCTGGACACGACAGCTCTCAGGACTCCGGCAGGAATTCAATTAAAAAAGGTTGATTAGTTCGCCATTAGATCGGAGAGAATGCCTCATTACCACCAGCAGCGAGCACGAAAAAAAGTGGCAACTTTTAGGCCCGCCAACTTGGCCGATACGCTCGGACTTTTAATTAAACGAAGGGACAGGACACACACCCTGGAAAGTGGCAAAGCGAGCGAACCGAAGCGAAACGAAAGAAAACCAATTACAAATCATAACAAGGCCTCTGAAAATAATTGAAATTTTCATGGCTAACCCGATGCCAGTCAGCAGTCAACCCCATCTTCCATTTTCCATTCCGTAATCTCGGCGAGCTGTTCGCACGTGGAGCACGTGCCACGGTGGTAACCATTAAGCTGCCAGCAAGTAAATTGCCAGCGATAAAGTCCCGATTCGCCGGGAATCCCCCAGGTTAAACTACGCCAATACCGACTGATAAGAGACCAAGACCACTAATCCCCCAGCCGTGCACTTATCAGCGAGGCAAGCACAAGCTCCAGCTCCAGCTCCAGCTCTCGATTTATCCGCACGCTCTCTCGCCGAGTCCTTGAGTAATGAGTGCTGGGAAATGCTAGAAAATGCGGGTGAAAAAAAGCTGGTGGAACACAGGAACAGGAAAGGTTAAGCCAGTCAACCCTCGATGCAACAAATGGCATTGCCAAGGCGGATATAGAACACAATAAGAAGCCACAACACAGTAAATGGCCGAGGAGGAAGTGGAAGTGGAAACACAAGTGGCGGTGGCAGTGGCAGAACAAAGTGTAAGAGCACTAAATTGTTGCAGGAGTTGCAGGACGACGGGGTATAAACCGGAGAAAAAGCTGCAGCAGAGTGCCAAAGTTCACACCAACCCCATCGGGGAATCCCAGACAGAAAAAAACGGGTGGGTGGGATAAGGATAATAATGCGAGAGTAAAAACAAATATGCGTTGATCTGTGGCACGGACTTAGCACTCGCAAGATACATATATGTATAAAGGAAGTGGAAAGGAGTGTCTCTGTGTGTGTGTGGCAAACGGAAAATGGAATCAAATCGCAATAAAACGTAACGAAACACAGCGAGTGAAAACTAAACGGAATGGAATCCCCTTAATGCGGCATGTAAACAAAATGGGCACGTGACCAGAGAAGGGCAGAAGCCAGCAGGAGCTCTCTGAGGGGATAAGGGCCACGCAACCCTCCTCCAACTGGCTGGGCAGCGGGATGTGGCCAAAGTTGCCGACTGGCCAACAAATTGCCGCATGAAAGTAATCCTGACAGCCTGCAGATTGTTGCGCCGTCATAAAAACCCAAGTCGGATGCTGAAACCGAGACTCAGACGGCGCCAGGATCAGAGAATAAGGAAGCACTTTGGGAGTTGGCAGACACTCGCAGGACATTGTAAGGGGAGAAAAAGAATGCAGTCTTGTGCACTGACCACCAGTTAGAGCTCCGTTCGAGTGCAGCTGCAATCCTTGAATTGCTGGGCTGTCAAATCAAACGTCTTCGAGGCAATCTCCTGCCTTCCTTGGTGCTTCCCCTTTCATTTCCTGAACGCCTGTCGAACCATTCGCAGGACTTCCTTCAACACTCGCTGTCAGTCTGCTCTGCCGCTCCTTTGTGCTGTAACGTTTCCAGTTTAAATACTTTTCGTTCGGAGGCGTTGGCCTCACGTTCTACCCAACTGTTAATTAGCTCGATAAATGTGAAAATAATGAAGGAGGCGGCACTGCGACGCCTGTGGCTTCCCAAATGTTATTTCAAAGAAGGGAAAACTCAACTTGTCTTGGCACTCGCCTGCGTCCAATCAGGACTTTATGGCCAGAAGTTATGAAGTCCGAAAGATAATAATGCGCCAACACTTTATGCCTGATGATGCCTGGCACTAACTCAAATCCGACGCCACAAGGGCAACTCAACTCGACTCAACTGGCGGACAATAAAGTTAAGTGCACTGCAAGAAATCGCTGCCAACTTTTGCAGGACCGGCGCAATCAGTCACGACAATCACATTCTGCGATATTATTATTGCCGGGCCCAAACTAGAATCAAAGTCGCAGCCAACTTTCCGTCGAAAGGAAATTGTTTGCCGCTTCCCATGCAAAGCAGCATCGCCCCGAGGGTGTCGGAAGTGACGGGAAACTTTCATGGCCAGCAGACGAGTCTGGTTCTGGAGTCTGGCTCAGACCACGCCAGCCATTGCCGTCAACTGTCAGCCCCGGCGTTGGGTGGCGGCCAAAGAGGATAAGCGGACTTGCAACACGAAGGATACTTGCCGGGGGAAGAGGGAAACCGGGATAAGGCCAGAGGAGAATTTCTTTGGCAAACGCTTTTATTGCTCTTAGCCACTTGGATGTGTCTCCCCACCGAATGAGGGGATTGGGGGATGGTCGGAAGTCCCGGCAGCTCCAGCTCCCCGCCGAGGAGTTGTACTAAAGTAAATGAAGCGTGGCGCTTTGTTTTCCTTTGATTTAGTTTTATGGGTCTGCATCGGATGTAATTGAATTATGCGAGTTGGCGCCGAAGGCAGACGGTTTTATTAGCATTCGATCCTAGAAGATGGGGTTCCTAGAAGATCCTCGTAAATCCCTAATGATCTCTTTTTCAATCACAAGACTCTAAACTGCGGAATTCAATCTCGGAATAAGCAAAGTACAAGCCACCTGTAGGAGTAACTAAGTAATAAAAGTAGATTTAAGATTATTTATTACATAGTTCAAAACAATAGGTTTCTATGGCTTCCTCTTCTAATCCATATTCCTGCTTCGTTTCGGTTGGTAGTCTCGGTTGAACTCCTCGAGAATTTTGCGACCCAAGGAAACCGAGTCCTCATCAGGGCTTTCCGCTTTTTTGCGGTCCCCAAACTCCATGGGCTGATGCCAGTGGAGCTTGCCATCCTGAAAGAACATCGGCTCCAGCCGGCACTCTTCCTCCTCCTCCACGGGGTAGATCTCTTGGCCCTTGTCCTTTTGGCACATTCGACGAGCCCGCATCTCGAAGATATTGGGCTCAAACCCGGGCCGGTAGGCGACCATGTATCGGCTATCATGCCCGCTGTTGTAAAACATCGTCAGGCAGCCCAACTCCTTGGCCAGCTCCTCTGCGATAGCCTCCTGCAGTGGCTCCATCGGTTCAAAGTCGATGAATCGGCACCGACTGTCGATGAGTCCACGCAGTCGACGTAGGAGCACTTCTCCATTGCGAAAAAGGCGGGACAACTCCCCCGGGTGCTGTTTGGACACCTCGGGAATGGTCTTGATATAAATGAAAAAGATCAGCTCGCGGAGACTGCGCTTAGAAGGCAGTTCATCGGGCATAAGGTCGGATGCAAGGCCTCTGGACTCTTCCTTGATATCTGGCGGAGAATATAGTGTGGTCAAGATGTGCGTACCTGGACTAGCCACTAGCTTACCATGAGTGATGTTCTCTGCATCGCCCAGTTGCTGTTCTAGATTCTCGTCCGACATTATTGAACACTTATCCACTTTGACCCAGTTGCGAAAGCCTAGAAAGTTGTTGAGAATTTGTAACAGCGCTTGTAGCGTCAGCAAAGCTCACCTGATTGACTTGGACAAATTTTGTTTATATTTGAGTTTTAAACACTGGTAATGGCGTTACCAGATCAGACGTAGATCATTGTGGCCAGATCGTTAAGGTATCGATAGAAAGCTTAACAGAGCTGCCAGATCATCGGCTACTGGCAAGAGACAAGCTTATTTCCGGTGACCATTCTTTTTCACTGAACCGGCGCACAATAGCCACCTCTCAAACAAATAGCGTAACAAAAATAGGAAAAGTCATTTTTGGGCGAAATCGTACGATTTTGTTTTTAGCTGCTTCGGTTTTCGACAAATTTTTGCTATCGGAATGTTTCGTTTTCTCATCGTTTCTTACTGCTCAAATACTTGACTTTTTTTTATAAAAAGCAATAACGTGAAGAACTGCCTTTTATATTTACAATTGCTTATTTCGAAGCCAGGAAAGGGCAAAAAATGTCGAAGTTAAGCATACCTAGGAATTTAAAATGCTGCCACATTTTTCACAGTTTTAATTACGGTGGTGTTAATTAATTATTTGGTCAACTTTGACCATTTAAGCAATCAAATTAAACAGCATTATTTACAAACAACAATTTTGGCTCTTCTTTAAAGTTATTAATGTATTCATTTATATTTTATACGTATTTTTAACTGGCTGTTTCTTTCCACCGACAATATGGCAGCCTTGGCGATAACATTTTGCGATGGACTTATCGACCTATCGCGAAAACGAGAAAACTGGTTAAACACGGTAAAAATGTTGTCAAATCTGAGATAGGGTCAGAAATAAATTTTTTATAAAATAACTACCTGCCAGAATGATCTTATGGTGGTGTGGAATAAACATCAATAGACCACTGAGTAAACTATTTTTTTCCTTTTGTAAATAAGATCTGATTTCATATAAAAAAACCATTAACTTTTCATTCCGGCCAGGAAAAGGTGGTCGTTTTTCAAATCGAAAGAATCTTATGTTTTCTTAAACCGGAGCACCGATTTCTCGTTTTCAAAAACGAAAGCGAAAAAATCTTCCCGTTTTCAATTACCGGAGCAGGCCTGATTAATGCAGAATCAATTAATTTATTAATTAAAAAAAAATAAATAAATAGGGTAAACAAAATAGGTAAGTGCTGCAGAATTCAAAACCGAATAATTCATCTTTATGGCCCAATTCTACACCAATCCGGATGTTATTATGGCCCCTCCAGCAGAAATCAAAGTTTTAGTGCCCCGCAAAAGTCAGTCCTGGAACTTTCTGGCCATTTTCCCATGCAAAGCAGAGCCTCCGGAGTGTCAGAGTTGACGGGAAACTTTCATAAAGGAGACTCCGGGAGATGAGCCAACCACACGAGCAACGGCCATCAAGAAGCAGCCAGGAGTTGGAAGCGAACCTGCTTTGGTGAAAGGTTTTATTGCTCCTAGCCGACTCGATGTGTCTCCACTCCGAATTGGGTGCTTCGGCAGGACAGGGGATGAGGGATGTGGGATGTGGCCAGGATAGGGGAGCAGCCCGCCGAGAAATTGTACTAAAGTAAATGAAGCGTGACGCTTTGTTTTCCTTTGATTTAGTTTTATGAGTCTGCGTCGGATGTAATTGAATTATGCAAGTTGGCGCCGACGGCAGACGACTTTATTAGCATTCGATACTAAAAGGGGGAAAAGGGGAGGCTGATGATGACACGGATGATGGAGAACTCCAGGAGGCTGGCTACAGCTACAGGATACAGGATACTCTGACAAGGTTACGCTTTTTAGTGGTGACATTTGAATTTCAGATGATTCCGCACAACTCGCGGTGAAATGGGTTGGAAAATATGAGGATGAAGCCACGATAGGGGATGCAGGAGACACTCCTCCGAGCTGCTGGAGCAGCCACATCCAGTGATAAGCAGCTCAATGAATGCACGAAGCGATGGCAACTGGGTAAAATCCATAATGAAATGACAATTTTCAGGCGGACAAAGCGTTCCGCAGCCTAATTGACACCAAAGGATGTCCGGGTGCAGGACGGATTTGAAAAATAGAAAATCAAAGCTGAAACTGGATTCCAGTAAGGAGATCCAGGATAAGGGACAAGAAATCGATTTGTCAACTGCCTCAGAGCATTTGCAGCGGATTCAGTTTCGATATTGCAAGCCAATAATTAATATGTGAGTCGCCATGGCGCCAGGATAACCTCGCTGCAGATGTCCTAGCAGGTAGGAGGGGCAATCTGTCAGCTCGGTGCGGGTTTCGTCTGTCAAAAATGCAGAGCGAGAGAGGCAGTGCATCCTTGAACTGACAGGGACTGCCAGCGTCCGATTACAGTTTCATGAACAATCGAATGAGGAGGCTGGGTGGAACAGAGTGGGGGAGGACAGATCCCGGACAGAAACCAATGACAAACTGAAATCAAAAGCAGTCCTTATTCTGCTTTCGGGCTGCCGCAATCGGAGAAGTGCAAGGACACTGCGACTGAGAGTGGCATGTGTCCTGTCGAGTTGGGTTGTGCCGTGTCCGACAAGGACTAAGCTGATTCAGGCAATCCAGGGAAAGTGGCATTGGTGACTCACGCATCGCCACGCAGGTTTACAACTGCCGGATGATATCGTAATTCGCAACAACAGGAGAGGAGGGAGGAGATGGTCATCGATTGCTGCAGTCATCAAGGAGGCAACAATGCACTTAACTAGACCCGGAGGAGATGCTATCCGAACTGGCCTGCTTCACCCTGCCAACTCCTAGGAAAAGTTCTCCTCCACGTAGAAAAGTTGCCTAAAAATGCTCACGTCCTCGGCACGTGACCGAAATGTTTGGCCATAAACAAGGAAAATATGAAAATGAAGAGGCGAACTCAGCAAATAAAGGGAGGATACGAGGAAATAAGGAGGAAGTTGGGAGTCGGTAATCGGGCTGATATATTTATCCTGCTGAAACTTCGCACGAAGCCTCTTCAAAAATTCATCAAGGAGACGCGCTCAAGTCGACTTCAGCTGAGTTGAGTTCGTGGGTCGTCCTTCGTCCCACTCCCTCGATTCCTTGCTCCTGCGGGCGTGGACATTAACCCCAATTGGCTAAATGGCTCATTAGGTCAGTGGGGGAGTCCTTTCTTGGCTCGCTTCAATGGAAATGGAAACAGGAGCAACGCAAGCGAGTTGCACTGCTGCGTGGTCAGTTATAATTAGGGACATTCGCCTTCGGAGCTTTACGAGCGAGCGATTAAGCGAAAGGATACGGTGGTCATAGCTACCGTGGGAGTCCTAGGACAAGTCTAGTGCTAGGTCCTTCTGGGCTTAACTGACCCACTGTGTCCTCACTCCACGCTCGCCTCGCATTCAATATTATTAATTGACGACATGGATCCTAAGGAACTCGTAAACATATCGGTTACAGCCGGTTCATTCTCCAATTGGAAAGTGGCCAGAGCTGTGTTCGGGATGTTTGCTTAGGAGCTCCAAAGGGAGCGGCTATGGCTGAGCATAATACCAACGAAAAGTGTATTCCCTGCAAGGGCTCTTCGGCGTTAGACAGTTGATTAATAGGCCATAAACCAAGCGATTATCATTCTAATTTCGGGAGGAGAGATGGGGCAAGGGACATTCCATCTGAGCCCTGTTGGAAGTCTCTCCCCTTTCTATGTTCGAGTACAAAACACCATTCAGGATTAGCCAGGATATGCGATGTTCCACTGTGCGGAGAGTGGTGGGTGATTGCCACTTGTTCGCTGGGAAACATTTCTGGTGGTCTCGGGCTCCAATTCCGTTTGCCTGGGCAACGTTTACCGTTATGATTGCCGGTCCAAACTTCCTCCGCTCCTCTCTAGCTGGTGATTTTCCCTTGAAGTTGCCCCACAATCAAGGATACGTGGATGAGGGTTGGAGAGACGCCAGGCTGTAATTGCTTAATTTGATTACGTGCCGCCGTAAAAAGCAGAACAGGAAATTTGCACACACACAAGCTCCGTGCCGGGTAATGAAGTTAGGATGGATGCACGGACGGATGGATGGATGGATGGATGGTTGGATAGGTAAATGGGGAGTAACGGAGGCGAGCCCCAACCACAGGCTCGCAACTCGAAGCCTCCCCCAACGGAACCCGAGCGACTTTAAACTTTATCGCAGATGGCAAACAACTTAATTCGTGTTTCGGCTGAGCCTTTCGCCGCCTTCGCCCGAATGTCGCAGGCCATTTGCCATAAACAACAAACAAGGCAAGGAGCCTGGAGTGGGAACAATGGCGTCAAAGGATCGAATGGGAAATGGGAAACTGTTCGCGTCGGGCGATAATTAGAAGCGCCCAGTGCACGCTCAATTAGAAGCTTGTAGCCGCAACCCAGGAACCCAGAAGCCCGCACCCTGGTGAGGGGAGTCCGGAACACGGAACATGGAAAGTCTCTCCCACACGGCTGCACTCTCCTCCGTGCTGCAGACACGCGATGATCCGGAGCGGAGTGACGGGGTCCTGAATGTCTTAATTAACTGTTGGCTGCACTCTGCGAAATCAACAGGCCATAAATGAGGGCAGAGGGGAGTTACCCAGCCGGAGCTGGAGTTATGGCCCGCTGTTTGCCTCTAAATAATGTCGAGGACGTCGTGCCTCATATTTATGATTCGCAATTATTCTACAACGTGTGGCGGCAAATCTCCGCCTACTTGAAATTGCACGGGATTCGAGCCTGAAAGGAGGGTCTTGGCGAGAGGGTGAGCCGTGCTCCGCTTATCTGATCCCGGATACACGGAGAGTGCATAAATGCGAACACGTTGCCGTCGCCAGCAACGCACACAGGGAAATAATTCTCTTTGCCAGACGCAGACGAAAGTGTTTGCCAGACAAATGGAGGACGAGGACGAGGACATGGACGTGGACGAGAGCGGGTAGTGGGAGATGGAATGGGTTAGGTGGATTTACATGTCACTTGGCCATAAAAAGAGTTTATGTCTGACATGAGCCGAAAACAATTTGCATATATTTTAGCGCTGGATAACGGCTTAATTTGGAATACATTCGGGGATACAGACCCAGCAGAGCCGCGGCTCAGCTTTGTCTTTCTCTCCGGGGAGCATTGCGTA